GTAAAATAATTTTACGAATGCAAAACTTTAATCTATTATTCTCATCAAATTGCTTGACTCGAAAGAATGTAATGTACGTAAATTCGAGTAGGCATATAACCGATATAGCGGTATGTTTATATGCGGTCAGGTTGAAATGTAGAAATAATGTTTGAATGAAAATATAACCCAGAGATTTGTCGCTTTACGCTTCTTGGTGTAACATTTAACGCAATGCTGTTTAGAAAAAAATATGAGTATTTAACCAGTTCAAACACGTGATGAGATTTACAATATTTGTGAGTTTTAATTTAAGTATTTCGTTAGGAGTTTTCGACGAGATTGAAATTGTTAGTGAATATTATTAGGGGAGTGTTGTTAAAAGCATATATTAACTTACTAATTTCATTATATTATTAAAGTTAAGTTACGACTAGTTTTTCGATATAGATAGTTGGTCTATTTACTAACAACACATCTGTTTACTTTACATGTACTGTAATGTACTGTCAACGTCCCTTCATTGGATACAATTTCATATTGACAGCGCTCTAGAAGTGCTTTATATAAAGAACGAGTGAATCTTTTGTCGTCACCTTCATTGTACCATTCATATTATGTAGCTCTAAATTCATGAGATTATCATTTTGTATCTGTCAACAAAAGCGAAAACAATGCAAGTAAATACGATTATATACAAATATTTATCTATTTATTTTTTATACAGGGTGTTACAAAAATACAAATAAAGCTTGAAGGGCGTTGAAGTATATCATATAAGGAGTCTTCTCTTATTTTTTATATTTTTTTTTTTATAAAAACAGTTATTTTTAATGATTAGTAAAAATATCGATCATTTTAAAACACTTCACTAGTTCGAGAATCAATAAAAATAACTGTTTTTATGAAAAGTTAAAACTTCATGCAAATATTTTAAGAAAATTAGAACAGACTGCTTATATGATGTACTTCAACGCCCTTCAAGCTTTATTTGTATTTTTGTAACAGCCTGTATTTAGTGGGTAGTAATTTTACATAATTATTTGATTTACACAACTTATCAAATTCTGTTCTTTAGTGAAGGACTAAAAGTTTCTCACTGTACCTTTTCTATTTCCATTACTGTGATACGCTTTTGATGGTGTAAAGTAGTATTATTTTTTTATTTTATTAATTTAAACAATGACCCCCTTATTAATAAACTAGGAATAAGCTTACACTAGTTACGCCGTGTATTATTCATATCACTCAAATTCGCAGTGCCTTCTTTGACTTATTGGAGGCCCTGGGCATATTAGGATAATGGGGCCCCTATGATCCCCGTTTGGTGATCTAACAAGAACTAGGGACTTTGTATTTGTGATCTGAGGTGCCCACCTATCGATCACGGGGCACTGCCAAAGTGGCCCAAACGGGTCTTGTCATTCGTCATTCAGTGGACAAAACATGGAGTAACTAATCAGAGCTTATTCTTAGTTTATTAATAAGCGGGTTACAGTTTAAATATCATTTGGTTTAATAGTATTATCTGTTGAAAAGTGCCATGTAATGTATAATGGATTTTATCGAAACGGTAGCCGTGTGTTGATTTCAAACTTCAATTGGCAAGAACATTAGTAGTTGGTTCTCGTTAAGTGTTATGCCACTTGCATCAACACTTTTTCATGTGACCCAATATTTAATTATGTTGAAAAAAAATGCATTATATATTTTTTTTAATTACTTTAAAAATGGCTAGAAGTTATTGACACAATAAATTCATTGTTTAACCTTATGCTTATTAAAAAGTTTTGCTTCAGAAATTAGAATGGCAATTTGATAAAATTTCTAAATGATGACAATATATAAACATTTCATCCTAGGTCATGTCTTCAGTCAGAATAATATTCCTAGGCTCTCACAAAACCAAAGCTATATAATATTTCTTATAAAAGCTTTAAATATTTATGTCACAAAGTTTAAAGTAGCCAATTTGTATGATAAAATAAATTAAATCCATAAATAAATGGAAAATTGTTTAAAAACATTTCTTCATGTTTTAATTAAGTGTTGTTTTTGATTGAGCAAAGTCCACTATGTATGTATAACTTTTTTCATTCCATATGATGTGTTCTTTATTTTTGTACCACTACGATATCTACCGGTAGCGTTCGATCAAAGAAATAAATACAGATTCATTGTGTGTATACATTTTTTTAACTTAATTTTGTTGTATGATTATTAGTTGTATGATTAACTCCATACTTCCAAACGGTTGTTCCGTTGATGACAGACTCATCACACACTACTCCTGCTGTGCGAGGCGATAAATTTAAAATCCTACTTAATACCTACCTATCTACTGTTTTTTCATATTAGACCTTAGATTAAAACAAAAAGGGAAGATACGGTACGCTCATACTAGCATCAAATAAGATATGATCCGTCTCAACTACTTAAGCAACTCTCAAACACGCACACTTCTGTAAATAGACATTCAATCGAGCGAGCGAGACAGAACTGTACGCTTCAACGTAGCGCGAGCGAAATGGCGACTCCGCCTCGTTTTGCAGTCGACTGCGTTTTCTTTTCTCTCGCTACAGTTGAGCTGTATTGTTGTCCCTTTCTTGATAAAAAATGGCGAATCAGTAACTAATATTCATGGCAAACCGTGACCTATGAGAAAAAAATATGTTTTTCATAGTTTTACAAATGAAAAGTGTTGCCGTGGCATTTGTTATCTGATCTTAAACTATTTCTGTTCTTCATAAAAGCATCGAAGGCATTGTTTTATCTTTATAACACAGAATATACGCAATATTGTTATATTGAGTGCACATGTATCGTGATTGGATGTCCAATTGTGACTAAAGCTAATTGTGGTCATGCACCACAATTTAAGAGGATCACTTTTGAGCCGCAAGTGGCGTATCTTCCCTTTTTGTTTTAATCTAAGTATTGGACCTACATATTTAGTGAGCATTTTTTTACAAAATTTGTTAAAATATAGGAATCATTTTATTTTTATTGCTATTGGTAAAATTCCTTTTACGATATTTTGTAAATGCTTAATTAGAAAAGTTTTGTATAAATATATTTTTATATAATTTCAAGACAAAGAAAAAACAGTATTTATATGAGATCAGTTGCATATTTACCACTTTATTAGCGTTTTATTGGAAACATAGTGCGTGGCTGGGCCACTGTGATGGTGTATTTCCATATTATTATGATATATAGAGGTGCTTAATTAAATAATAGGTTTCCTAAACTGCCCAGTGCGCATCTTGTACTCAGTACACGTTGAATTTGATGAAGTCGTGCCTAAAATGTTATAGAGTTATTAAACATTTATTATTAGAAAGTAGCTAGATAAGTTGGATACGTTTACAATATTGTATCAGTTGTGTAGATTTTTATATGAGCGTTTCATAATAGTCTATATGTTTATAGATACATACTAATAATGTACGTATAGTTGGTATGATGTGAATTTTAATATACATAATTATGTAGTCTATTGAGAATTTGTATTAGCTTTCGTACGGAACGTGTTTAGTATTATTATACGTATGTATTGTGATCACTTTATGTGCCAATATTTGTAAAAGACGTAGATTAGTTAATTGGTATAGCACCTTCGTGTCAAGGAATCCTGTTCCTTTTAAATATTTCACAGTACCTATTTGCCATAATCACGAAACTGTTTATGAATATTTATTTAGCATTGATTATAGGCAATATATAGAAACTAAAAAGAAATAGTGTCCTTAATTTATGATCGACAACATCAATGCCTGAAGAGTTTACAATAAAAAATAATACATCACACATCACATTACTATAGGCCCAAGCTAAAACTTAATTTATAGACCACGGTCTAGTGTTTTTTTCATAACGTGATGCAAAAATCTCAAACATGTGGTCGGACTATTCACTATTCAGTGGGTTATTTATTTATTCCCCGCCTATGGGTATAGTTACCGTGCAAACTTACGATAATCAATTAAACGAATACATATGTTAAGTACCGGCATTACTTATAATTTATGCTGATAACAGAGAATGCTCTTTAATTCAGAAGTAAAATGCATGGAAGACAGGATTCCGATCTGGTTCATATGGAATTTATTGAAATTTACGATTGTATATTTAATAAAAATATTATTAGTTATGAAAGCATTTTTTTTTACACACTGTTATTGTACATTACTGCAGCGGCCAGCAGGGGACGAACGTGTAAGTATGGGCCGAGGCACACATACTTGTATAGTACTCCGGTTCTATCTCGGCCTACTCCGATTCTATAGTATTTGGTGCTACTGCATACGTGGCAGGCAACCAACGCTCTCATATACACGTGTCGTGCTCGTAGTAGTGAAACGATCGCAGCGCAGTTGTACGTGAAGCTTTGTGTCTATGACTCATGTGGTACCTATTACTGTAATTATTATCTAACTAGGTACTTTTCAAAATCGAACTGCATAAAAACAGGAAAGTCTGATCCAAGGGACTAAAAAAATAAATTAAAAATAAGCAAAAGATCTAACTTTTAAGAAAGAACTTCATACCCATTTTTTTAAACGGTTAACCTTTCGACATAGGGTCAAATCTATCAGCAAATGACCTAAATATTCATATCCTTATACATCTACTTCGAATTTTACTGCAACCCTGTATATGTAGGTAATGATTGGTCATCTGGTCATTGGAGGAGCTCGATGGCGCAAGTGGTTAGCGCGTTCGGCTGCGATCGTTGAATTTAAGCAACTTTCGCAGTGGTCGGTCATTGGATGGATGACCAAAAATCTTCTATCTCGAGTTCCTCCGTGCTTCGGAAGGCACGTTACGCCGTTGGTCCCGGCTGCATCTGCAGTCGTTAGCACCCGCCAATCCGCATTGGGTCCGCGTGGTGGGTCATGGCCCTAACTCCCTATTCCATCCATAGGGAAGGCCTGTGCCCCAGCAGTGGGGACATTAATAGGATGATGATTGGTCATTTCTTCAATTGTACGAAAAACAAAGTAATAAAAACGTTAGAATTTATTACATATTTATATAAAATTCACATTCTTTCGTATATTCTAATAGCACTTAATTTTTATTTAAATATAAAATAAATATAATGAATACAACTCATTGATACATAATTATGATAACTACACCCTCTCTTTAAATAACTATGGCTTTTATTTCCTTATAACAAACACTATATTAATTTATATAAACATAATTATTACAAAAATACCCGTCTAAGTGACAGTAAAACGAAATCTAGCCAATAGCGATATAATTATGTTTGGTTATGAGTCAGTGAACAATAGGATCTAACCAGCAGCTCAAGGCTAATGAGAATGGGATAAACAACAAAAAAATAATTGCTTAGAGCCGGCCAGAACAGCTAATGCCGCATTGTGGATACCAGCAGCGTTGCGTGCGACCAACCTTACGTTTCTGTCGTAGATAAGAAAAAAAAATTGACCATGAGTTTTTATAGGATTTATGGGCAGCATTCTCCGAAGAGTTTTTTTAAGAACTTTTCAATGCAATGCACGTAGTCCTACTAACGCTTAGTTGATTGTTTCGGTGCTATCATTAATTAGGTGCGTGCCCTCCGAGGAGCCACAGTGAAAAACGTAGGTTTCGTATATAGTACATAAAGAGAAATTGTAGCCAGAAGGATAAATTTGTTGCTGTTGTAAGTCAAACGCTACGACTTACCGAATGTGGGATAGACAAAACGCCTAAATTTTCACATTACTGTATCTGATCAATTTATATAATTTTAAAGAATGTTAATATTTAGAAAGTAATTTGCAGGACTACGTACAAAAATTTAAGCTCTGTCGAGTGACTACAAATAAAGAAAGTCCGATCAGTTGGTGGGCAGTTGGGCACTCAGCTCTTGCGTGTTCAGAATTTCCTCTACTGCTACGGATATGTAGATAAGCTACAGCAACGTTTCTTTGGATAGCTTTAAAATTTAGCAGGCGTAGCCAAAATGCTACCCTGTGAGTCCCTGTGAGTACGAGGTTAATATGTTCTACCTACCTAGTAAGCGGGCCCTGGGTCGAAACGTTTATAAACGAATTCATGAGAAATATCTCAGTATAAAATGAACATAGTTGATGTATTTTTAGCTGAAAATTTGTAGTTTAAAATTGTATTCAAACATTATTGCTTTAAATAATACTTATTTAAAGAAATATCCTGCTTCATTTAATTCTCAGTTATGATTTTGTGTGTGGTAACCACATTGATATTATTTTAGGACACTCGAAAGGAAAGTGTATGCTATAGGATGGCTCGAGTGTTATTTTAATTGTGAACTAACTATATTCTTCATAATTGTAACTAAACTACACATAAATAATGGTACTTATAATACTAAAATAGACGTGTCAAATTAAGTACTGAAAACAATTTACGAACTGCAAAAATATAAAAATGTATAAGTTTAAGTAGATCTTTGTGTATACGAAACCTACGTTTCCGACTGTGGCCCCTCGGAGGGCACGCGCATACATTATTTTACTGTGGAATAATTATAAAATTGTTTAAGTTCATATTTATATCTGTGATAGGACCTCTTCTATATTTTTTTGGAATTCTGCCTATTGTGTAGAAAACTGTGAGACTTCAGACGCCGCATCGTAGTGATATTACCTGGCTCTTACCATTTTCCACATCTTTTGAAAAGCATTTGAAACACGCGCCTCTTATTTGATTATTAAAGTATGCTTATCGCTGTGTTTTTTAGTGTCACCGTTTGTAAAAAGAAAGTTCATATCTGACTTTTAACATAGTGTTTCGTAAATACACAACTGCAAGAATGCCTTTTTGGCACAGATACCCGTTATTGTCAAACTACTGGTGTTTTATTGACACAACGCAATTCAGCTTTGGCGTCGTCTTTACGTTTTGACCTAGTTTACAGATTCCGAAGATTTACATTTCCAAACAAAGGTGTATTTAATCTTTTAGTAGGTAGGTCTACCACTGAACAAACAGAAATTTGATAGCGATCTAGTGATAAAAGAGCCACTCTCACTTTCTTACTGGACGCTGCGAAAAGCGTATCGAGAAGATTTTGACACATCTAAAAATATGTTATGCTGTACGTCTATTGTTAATATGAGCACTGTAAGAGTCATTCCGAAACGTAATAAATACTTTAGCTACATAATCACGTATTACATATAGACAGACGCATCACTGTAGGAAAATCGGTGAGGGTAAATATTCGAGGGAGGGTTCCACCCTTCCAATTTAGTTTCCCTTATTGGATTCGGAGGGGAAATTATAGTACGAAGTTATGATAAGTGTGATGTTGATAACCTTTTCATAGATGTCTATAGATACAGCCACGATAACTATTGGTTAATACGTAACACAAAGTGAATTAAGTTAATGTACGTAAACATGGATACCGGTCCTATCTATTGTGCGATTACTCGTATATTTATCAAACTACGTGCCTCAGAGAATTCGAAATACATATTAGAAAACTCACTTTTCGTAGCTCGCCGAAAGCGTTTAAAAAACCAATAGCACGTCGAATAGGCAAACAATGTCATCGTTTCGTGTATGCAAATTGATTGTTTTCAGAACCCAATTATGTGGTTGTTACCGCTTTGCATATGAAAACTAACTATGCTGCCATTTACAAAACATTTTTGGAATCGTAACGTGTACTATGTACTTACTTACGTGAAAATATTTGGACCATTTTGGATGAACTCCAAGCAAGCGTGCGTCTAACTTAGGGTTGCCAAGCTTACTATTATAGTATAGTATCCTACTATATTAGGGGATCAAATACTATATTTAAAATATATATACATAGTAGGCGAAACTACTATGTTTTGCTTAAAGCAGAAATTTGCCAAAAAAAGCTTTCTTAAAAAATCAAATTTAATTATGCCTTAGCATAGAGCAGCAAAAATACATTCATTTCAAAAATAAAGTCAATATTTTAAACATATACTACATTTTTCCATTTTTTGCCATCTACTATATTTTTAGAGGTAACAGCTTCGAAAACACTATATTTGATAGAAAATAAGTTGGTAACCCTTGTCTAACTAGTTCATTTATGTGCGGTTCAGGTACCGTCTCTCGCGTGCCTATATTTTTTTTTATAATAAGTTCATAGTACCCAATAATAGTAATTAAATGTCTATACATAAAATACTTCGTGATTTTTTGTGCGTTGCATTTATATTTTTAAATTGCGATTGGTATATGTAACGCGAAGGCATTATATCACAAAGCTTGCTTGATATTGTATTCCAGTGCACTTTTAACAGACACAAGGTTTATTTATCTAACTTTTAGAATAGATATATAAAATAAACTGTACGATCTGAAGTTCACACAGTACCTAACGAAGGTACTACAATAAAGTCAACCTGTATAACTCCACAAGGTACATATAAATGTTCATTTCACGAGCACTTCCAAATGCAGACGGCCTGGTTGCCGCCGAAGTACATGTAGCAGATGGTGGTGCACTCGTAGGTGATCTCGAAGCCGTAGCTCTCGCCCACCACCACGTGGAAGGCGGGCCCGAACTTCTTGTCCATGGACTCCTTCACCATCCGCGCGGCTAGCTCGTTGTTCTGCGAGAACTTCTCGCAAGCCGTCACGGAGAGCTCCATCGCCTCAGTGCGCATCTCTTCAGACATGTCAGAGTGCTGTAACGAATGTTTTCATTTGTAAAGTTATTATAAAAATACTAGAGGTCGCCCGCGACTTACTCTGCGTTAACTTAGTTTCTTGAAAATCCCTCAGGAACCTAACATTTTTTCGGGATAAAAGGAGCCTATGTGTAAATTTAGGGTGTCAGCTAACTCCATACCAAATTTTATTAAAATCGATCCAGCCGTTTAGACGTGAAGAAGTAACAAACATACACACTCACATACTCACAAACTTTCGCTTTTATAATATTAGAGTGATTTCTTTTGTGCCGGGACCGACTAAGATCTTAATTGTCTGCATTCGAGTGGGTCTCTGACTATTTAGATTAGGGCTGCCAACCCTTCTATAAAACATCCTACTATATTAGAGGATCAAATACTATATTCCTGAAAGGAATATATAGTAGGCCAAACTACTTTATTTTGCGTAAAGCCGACTTTTGCCAGTAAAATCTTTTCTCATTGATGCAATTAGGCAGGATACCGTCGAAGATATTAATGTTAAATATATATTAAGTTTGAAGACGTGTAGGGGAACAGCAGTGGCGGCGCTAGACCACATGTGGTATTTTACTTCGCAGTAAAAAACCGTTAAATTAAGTGAGCCAAATTATAAAATAACGTATGAGTGAACGAGTTTTATTGTTGATAATCAAATGATGATAAAAAATAATTACAAACATAGAAATTTAATTACAAAGTGTAAAAAATAGTGTTGCCAGACAGACGATTCTGAATACCTGTAAAGTACTATTCGCTTCCATCACGCACGTGTTCGAAAATAATAAAAGTCATTATCATCTGCTTAGCCTTTTATCCGAATTGTTCGGGGTCGGCTACCTAAGCCAGGCCAGCAGAAACGAAAATAAATAGGTAACTTGTACATAAATAGGTAAAAAAATTTTGCGAGGGCCCCCTCAGGCGCGAGGCCGTCGGCGGTGGCCGACGTCGCCGACGACGCCTAGCGCCGCCACTGGGGAACAGTAGATTCTCCGCTCGAATTGAAGCGCCCGTCTATGGAAATAACCAACACTTTATGGAAGACCACAGTGAAAAACAGTTTTTTTGTGTTTAAATAAAACTACGTCAATTCCAAAGCAAAACAATGGATATAGAATACGGTTAGTTATTTATTTTATTGGTCGTGCCTATTTACAGATTATTTTACGTTAATACGTGCGGGCAGCGTGCATTCAAATCCATTAGATCCATAAAATATTTCTTGTTTAGTTCCAAAGATGTCTGTTTCCGGAAAATGATCACCATTACATTGGTACATAATGTGTTTTCTCACGGCACAATATCAAGGTCGAAATGAGCCTGAGAAAAAAAAATAACCTTAATAAGTAGTAGCCAGGTGTGCTAAGCATTGAAAGTGTGGTTTTAATGCCGAAACAATATTATTACAAAATCATTGAGGTCTGAATTAGAGTGCTAGATCAATTAGTTGATTGGATAAACTATCTAATTAATAAATTATTATGTAGTGATGAAACAACTAACAGTAATATCTAGGGAAAAAGGGCTAGATTTATTTACCTACGGCAATGGTTGGACATCACACTAATCGACGAGAAACACTTTGGCAATAGTTTACCCAAGGAAAATAATGTTTGCATTAAAACGCAACACGCACTTATCGATATCGCAAGCATCAGATGCTTCTATAAATAGGCTATGGTGACCGTTTACCGTCAGGCAGACAATGGGTATTCTTATCTTTTTTGCCAGCCTTTTTAAAAATCCCGACTGCTAAGATTCCCATTACAAACCTATCCTTTGATCGACAAATAATCCAGTAACGCGGTTCAAATGTATCTCAAATTAAACTATCCAAAAATGAATTTTTTTGCTTCTGTGCTTTGAAGATATTGAAAGCAAAGCTTTTGTAGTAGTACCTAAATCGGTGATCAATCAATGCTCACGCGCAAGTTGTAGCCACCTGCCAAAACAAACATGCATTGTCGGTCGGCTTCTGTATCTTACTATCGTATAGTTATAGAATGGCCAGTTTCGATGCTCGCACCCTCATCCTACGCAATAAATAAACAAAAAAAGACTAATTTTCTTTACACAAGATATAATGAAAGTGATCGAGTCCAATCCTATCCTACATATAAATTTTGAAAGTTTGTATGTTTGTTACTCAATAACGCAAAAGCGGCTAAATGGATTTAGGTGAAATTTGGCACACATGTAATTTATTACCTAAATTGAGAAATAGGATACCTTTTATCCCGGTTCTTGAGGGATTCTCAAAAAAAGTAATGTTAACGCGGAAGAAGTCGCGGGCGGCCGCTGGTACGTGATATATGAAGTGTCAATATTGCTTTATATTTTTTAAAATTAACTTTGCCATAAAAGCTCCGACGTCTTCAATTACTGTTGATCGATGTCAAAAGTGCTTATAATTTTAAATTCGATCAATATTATAATATATGTCCGCGGAAAGGAACTACATTTTACCCGATTTTACCTCATTTCGACCTACTTGGCTTGTTTGTGTGTGAGAGGCTACCTATACGGTAGAAGCTTTTGATCTATCAGGAATCTAACTAAAACATGACATGATGGAAAAAAACTGATCGAAATTTGAGACAGCTTGATGTGACATAGTGATCAAAAGTAACCCGATAGGCAGAGACGTCAAGCGACGCGCTACATTGCTCTCCGGTCAGCTCACGCGGAACTGTCTCCCGCGGACCTTGACTCGCCGAAAACCAGTGTCCGGTGTCGAGGTCTCACTCAAACAATTCAACATCAACCTAATTCTACACTTTCTATATGCCTTTTCCTTAATTTTCAAAGTGAATTTCCGAAAACAGTTTATCCGGCTCGCAGGACCATGTCTTATCACTATAAACCACGCTACTAAATTTGTCTAATTATAATAACAAAAGAGATAAAATGCTGCCAACTTTTATGGGCTGACTGCTATCCTATGGTAACAGGGACCGCCTGGTACGATTCAAAAGCATGTAGACGGTAGCTGAAGTAAATAAGTTCCGCGCACTCATTTTGTATTTTAATGTTATTATTGAATAAAATAAATGGATAACTCGTATTTCTTCCATTCACGTATACAATTGTTTTTATACGTCAATGGTTTCACCCATTAAAGCCTCAAATTTCAGCCCTTTGTATATAGTATTGCTTATTTTTACATTGAGTAACAATTACGGACTTGAGTTGACGCCGGCAGCTCATATGCCTCTTTCTTTTTCTATAATCTACATTTAAAATAAATAGTCTAGTTTCCTAGCAGAACAGAGAAAGGGTTGATGTAAACAAACATTTGTTTACTATACCATTGAACTATAATAAATAAAAACATGTAAATATATACATAAATGGCGAAGGTGTTATAAATATTATTTCTATGAAAACTCACCCGTATCAGGGGGTACGTATGTATCACTTTTTCACCAGCTGCACCTCCTCCCTCCTCTGCCATCCTTATTAACTTCACAATACTTGATAAACTACGATAATAAATGATTAAACAATTTTTTTTGGGAGCAATCACAAACGCAGCGCTCCGCGCGACGTCTGCCCGCTGTTTACGCGTTGCCTTGGAAACCGACGGAGGCGGGAAGATCAGATTGATTTTTCTCGACGTGTGGGTGCATGCGGCCAGCATCTACGGGTCTACGGCCTACGTACGAGTAACATCTGATTATGGCTACATGATGGCCACCATAATGGCCACTTATGTGTGTGGGCGGTAAATATTAATTTAAATCAAATGTTTAGTATGTAATCAATCGGCTGTAGATATTTATTATTAAAAATGTGATTGAAACATAACGGTCTATGTTGTTTAACATCTAAGTTCTCTAACTTCCGACGAATATGTTTAATAAAATCTTTCAAACATGAAAATTGATACCTACTTTCGTTGATCCCGACGGCGACTTTACTGATGTAAAAAAAAAAGATTTCTAATATGGACCCTCACAGTTCATTAGATCGACCCGGCACCCGACCAGAACCGCTTCAACATGTGCTGATGATATTCTTTGTATGTATTTTTATGGGTATACGCTCACTACAATACATAATGTCCATACCGTCTCGAGATCGCCTCGCTCGCAATCCGACTGCGTGCGGATGGCGGGTGGACCACTCTTCTATTGAAAGATGGAAGTGATGATCACCGAGCTATTTAGCGATGCAATACTGCTTTATTATAACGATACTAAGATGCGAGTAGCCCAAGATCGATCTGAGTGGCGTGCATTTGGAGAGGCCTATGTCCAGCAGTGGACTATGACGGGCTGTTGATGATGATGATGATGAAGATATACTTGTTCTGAAAAGTATCGATGGACATGCAATTTTCTCATTAGTAACACACCGTAAATGTCAGAAAAGTTAGCGAATATTCCGGCAGGTCGCTGGTTGTAAGAGCGCTGTTTCATCAAGGGCGACAACCGTTCGATGTTCAAACCGTCCTCCGAGCGTTCCGTAGCCCACCCAAAGTTGGCTGGTTGACAACGCATCGTCCACCTGATGGCGCGATTACACTTGGTCGTTAATCGACTATGTGTAAATGAACGGAGTGAAGTACGCTCGTATTCTCGTACATTTCTTTTTGTTTACCCGACACCGTCTTCTAGCCCGTATTCCAGTGTAAATATTGTTTTTACCTGTCGTGGAACCTTTTTTTGAAGATGCAGGCAGCATAATTTATTAATTTGAAATTAGTTTGACATGTTAGATAGACTAAAAAATAATGTTGTGTGTTATGTTTTTTCCACTGAAGTAAGTTTTTATAAGTTTGTGTTTTTATAATTTATGTACGCTCTAATATATATTTATCCCTGAACTTACAAGCGTTTCTTTAACAAAATAAAGAAGTTCGGGGCAAGGCATAGCGCCGGTTAATATTCACGAACATTTGGCGACCGTGACAGTGACAATGGGACGAACTTTCGTGGCGCTAAGAATTTATTAGCTATGATCAATTGGGAGGAGGTAGCATCTAAGACTTATATAAACAAATTGGAATGGCGTTTCATACCTCCGCAAGCGCCATGGTGGGGAGGGTTTTGGGAGCGTATGGTGGGCCTAGTTAAGAATCTCATACGTCGCATGTTAGGCAAGACAAGTTTGACTCAGGTAGAGTTGTACACGGCGTTATGTGAAGTAGAGGCAGTCATCAACGCTCGTCCCATCACATATATTTTGGATAGTACCGAAAACTTAAAACCACTCACTCCTTCCATGTTTATAAATAACAGTAAAGGCGACGAGAGTAGTTTAAATCTTTTAGACTCGAAAGATTTGCCGGTTCGTTGGCAGTATATCCAGAAGCTTGCAAAAGACTTGAGAGTTCGTTTCCGAAATGAGTACCTTTCAGCGTTAGTCGAAAGGAAGAGTAATGACACTTGCAGGATTTTATTGGCGATGTTGTCTTGATTGGGTCGGATGGTTCAAAAAGAGTGAACTAACTGGCCTTTGGGGAGAGTTTTAGAAATTTATGAGGGTAGTGACGGGCTATGCCGCATCGCTAGGGTAAAGACAGCTAATGGGGTACTAGTTAGGCCACTGCAAAGACTTTACCCGATTGAGGTCTCGGCGTCATACGAGCAAGAGTCTACACAGTCCGGTACTGGTGGTGAACCTTGTACCGTGCCTCAGAGTCAAACTGAGACTTCGAGGGTCTCACGTACTGGTCGTCCCATTAGGGCTCCACTTAGGTTAGATTTGTAGATATGTATAATGTGAGTTGTTAAGGTTATTGCAGATTTTAATCAGCAACGGCTGGAGTATGTCGTGGAACCTTTTTTTGAAGATGCAGGCAGCATAATTTAATTTAAATTTAGTTTGGCATGTTAGATAGATAGACAAAAAAATAATGTTGTGTGTCATGTTTTTCTCCACTGAAGCACTGAAGTAAGTTTTTATAAGTTTGTGTTTTTATAATTTATGTACGCTCTAATATATATTTATCCCTGAACTTACAAGCGTTTCCTTAACAAAATAAAGAAGTTCGGGGCAAGGCATAGCGCCGGTTAATATTCACGAACATTACCAAAACAATAACACCTAATAAGCATTCCAGTCTCACACCTTTCTTGAAACGTGGATATCGCATCATTTAAAAAAGTATAATATTAATTATTAAGGAACTAAGCTGTACGTACTTAAAATCTTTTTCCTTACTTGTGAAAAAACAAAATGTCAAAGTCAAACTCAGCTGATGGGTTGATGTTGCGTTTCATGCGTGCGTTGTATTGTGCAAGTCTTTATTTATTTTAAAGTATTTTTTTGCAGTTTATTATGAATATTTATTGAGTTGTTATTAAATTAAACAGCGCAGAACTTATAATGGCGTCTCGATTCAGTGGTGCTCTTCAATTGACGGACCTGGACGACTTTATTACGCCATCGCAGGTAACCTTTGTTATTATTTACAAAACTTTGAATGATTATTATCAAGTAGTTTCGCAAAGAAATAAACACCATTATTTTAGTTTATTATTGGCGTGCTCTACTTCATTTCGAGAAGGCTCACAGTCATGTTGAGTGTTTACGTTTACAAAATTGTAACCTCAAAATATATTTTCGTACAAACAATGTTATGATCTATGAGGTACTCTTAATCTTTATTATATGGTTTTCAAATTGGCTAATAGCATATAGTGTTTCAAAGAACATTCAAAATTTTACCACTGTCAATTTTTAAGTCTAGTTACCTAATTGTTATTTAAAATGATGTTTATTTAAAAGTCTACATTTTTTTATTCAGGAATGCATCAAACCTGTTAAAATAGAGAAAACGAAAACTAAAACTGGCGCAAAGATAAAGATTGGTGAGGATGGCTATTTTGATATATCTGGTGGTAAAGAACAGAAGCTGCAAAAAGTTGAAATCACATTAGCAGATTGCCTTGCGTGCAGTGGTTGCATCACTTCTGCAGAGAGTGTACTCGTCACACGACAGAGTCAGGAAGAACTACTCAGGTATATATTTGATAATTTAAAATCTATTTTATACTTTTGAAGTTATGCATTTTCACCTGTGAGATGTTAGGCCGTATACAGTCAGCTGGTCAGTTTTTCATCAAACGGTTTTTCACTTAATCCAAAATGTAATAAAATGTTTCTTGAGTCATTCTTGTATATGTATAAAATCTTTGATCATCAAATTTCAATTTTTTTACAAATAAATGATGGTATTCTCCATTAAATTAAAAATGGTACAAGGCGAAATAATGATTAAAATGTTGTTAATTTTAAACATCTACAATATAATTTTCAAATGCAAAGACGAAAGGAATGTCAAAACAACATAACAAATTAAATGCATTACTATGCAAACAAATTAGTTAGCATTGTGCATTTAGGAGAAAAATATGCTTATTTTCTTAACACACAAGTTTTTTTTCCTTAGAGTGTTTAAAGAGAGGAAGTATACAAATAACAAGGGAATAACAAAGGATGTCAGTTTGATTGTCATATCACTCTCACCGCAGCCAGTGCTCTCCCTTGCGGTTCGCTACAATTTAAGTGCTGAAGAAGCTACCAAGAAACTTGCAGGTAAATCAAATGAGTGGGCTTGAGAAAATGATGAGAATTATAAAAAAATCTGTAGAAAGTTTGCTTAATAGTGCAGCAGTACAAGTGCCAATTTTTTTTTTCTAATTTGATTCATCATCATCAGCCTATTAATGTCCCCACTGCTGAAGCACAGGCCTTCCCTATGAATGGAATGGGATAGGGAGATGGGGCCATGACCCACCTGCTGGCCCAGTGCGGATTGGCCGGTGCTAACTACTGCAGATGCAGCTGGGACCAACGGCCTAACGTGCCTTCCGAAGCGCAGAGGAAGTCAAGATAGCAGATTTTTAGTCACCCATCCAATGACAGACCACTGCGAAAGCTGCTTAACTTCAACGATCACGAACTTCATCTTCACCTGCGCCATTGAGCTCCTCCTCTATATTGATTAAAAATAAATAAATATTTCTAACACACACTAATTAACCTAGCCCCAAAGTAAGCAGTAAGTATTACATGAACTAATATAGTAACCAAATTTCAGGATACTTCAAAAGTTTAGGGGCTGATATGGTGTTAGATATGACTATAGCTGAAGATCTGTCGCTTTTAGAGGCACAACAAGAATTTCTAGAGCGTTATCAAAATCAACAGAATGACCCTACATCAAAGAACTTACCAATGCTCTCCAGCTCTTGTCCAGGTTTGTTATTTACAGAAATATTCATATTGCATGTAGACTTCATGTTGCCTGTAGATAAGGTACCCTTGATTTGATTGAAACCAAAATTAAGACTAGACAGCTTAGTATTTTAATAGAAGTTATTAATTAAAATGTAGATATAGTCAATTAATAGTTATGTTTTACACAAAATGTAATAACTGACCCTGGATATCATAGCTGTAGTATTAACATATGATTTGATATAACTTTGGAGTTTATAATCTATCCATCCAGTGCAGTGATCTGCTTCCAGATTCAGGCCTCTTTGATTTCTATCATTCCTTCTCTCACCCCTCATGGCTGATGCTGCCATGCTTACTGGTCAGCCAAGGTTACCATTCTGTCACTTTTCTATACATTTTATGTTTATCCATCCCAGCTATATGTTTATTTCTGCTAATTTATTGCGATTGCTATGCCCCTGACCTTGAGTATTCCATAACCTGACAATACTCTCGCAACTGTCACCGACACACAGTTTGAAGATCCGAGATGTTCCGAATGTGTCCGACAGCGGTCGTAGTTGCGATTGCCTATTACGAATAGTCGCAGACCCGCCTCTGATTGTCCGCAAGTGGACTCCTCCGATGGCGATGCCCTGGTAAAAAAGACGTCACTTATCCCAAACCTTGAGAATCCTTCGAAAAACTGATACCAACACCACATCGAACAGGTTGGGTGTGCTACGCTGAAAAGACGCACGGCTCGTTCATTCTCCCGCATATATCGTCGACGAAGTCCCCGCAGCAGATCATGGGGTCGCTGGTGAAGCAGCTGCTGCCTGAGGACCGGGGGCTGAGCCCTGGAGAGGTGTACCACGTCACTTTCATGCCCTGCTACGACAAGAAGCTCGAGGCGTCCAGGGAGGATTTCTATAGCGACATACTGAATTGCCACGACGTCGATTGTGTGATTACTGCCAGTGAGTTTGATATGAACGCTTTAACTGCATTTTTATATTCATGTTTGAAATACCTAAGTTCCTTTGAGTCCTTATTTACGGAATTTTATTAATTTTGACTGAGTATCCAAACCTTTAATATAACTTATCCGATCAAAATTGAATCATCAAAAACTTTCTTAAATTACACTTTAGTCTGATAACCAGTTGCGTGATCATTTGTAGGTCGTACTTAATTGTTTTTTTTACAAAATTATTTCCAGTTGAGCTAGAGCAGATGTTGGATAACAGCAGCATGTCACTCTCCGATGCAACCGCAGGCGAGCTGGAGTGGCCTTGGGGCGGAGAGGAACAGGTGCCTACCATCACGCGGCACATTGGGTCGGGCTCGGGAGGATATGCTGACTCCATATTCCTGCACGCCGCCGAACAACTATTCGGCGAAAGCAACGCGCAGCTGGTCTATAGAAACCTAAGGTGAGTACGATCAGTGCCGTCTTTGACCTATTGGATGCCCTGGGCATATTAGGATAATGGGGCCCCTATGACTGTGATTTAACAGGAACTAGGGACTTTGTATTTGATCTGAGGGCCCCGCCCTGGGCACTTGCCCAAAGTGCCCACTGGGAAAGACGGGTCTGAGTACGATAGCCGAGTTAGGGCAACTTCTGGATAACAGTGGCATGTCACTGTTTAAGTTGGTGTTAGGTTTTAATGGAATTCTTTGCCCGCGCACGTGTTCCCTCCTTACAACAATCTAGGGTCCTTTAAGAGAGGCGTGACGAAGCAACATGCAGGCCGGGAAGGTGAGGATGGCTGGTGTGGTGTGGCAGGTAGAACTGCTGTATCAGCTATCTTCTCGTCTGGACTTCACCTTCACTTAACATTAGGTGGGGTGGAGTCATTTCTCGGACCTATGTATAAAAAAAAGCATTTTTGCAATCCAGCAAGGTGAGGATGGTTGGTGTGGCAGTTTATAACTGCTGTACCAGGTATCTTCGCGTTTGGGCGAATGCTTATTTTTTTCTCCAGTATTTTAACTGCCGTCAAATTTGAATGGAACAACGCGGCATTAGATTTCAAATTGGAGTAATCTGTCATCACCAAAACTTTTATATCTATTGTCGTTACTTGACTGATTTTTCAATGGGTTTTCCTATTTTAGTTTGTCTAATAGAATCAGACTCAACTCTTTATAAGCTTAGTCTACTTAAACCTAGTTGTGAACAATAAATGATTTCATTTCGTATGCATGAGTGGGTTGTGAAAATGAGACTCAATTAGGATAATATCTAAGCACTTCAACTTATTGTTTACGCTATTTCGACATTACAGTTTAACTCCGCCAGTGCGCTTTCAAATAATAATATACATTTTTTCTTTTTGCTCGGCACAAAAGAAACTATGAAAAGCTAAATGTAAAACTTGTTTTTAAGTTATATTTTTATTTTGAAGCATTTAACTAGCAGTTCAAAACTTAAGAAAAAAAATACTTGAAAAATTATCTGTATAAGTTAAGACAAGATGTATATGTATAGCACAGCACTGTTGTTCAGACGTTTCTTGATGCACTTTTGTTAGACTGATTCTACTTGTTTTTATACATCAATGGGGAAACCATAAATCTATATTGAGTTTAAAAACTATTCAGAAAAGTGGTAATGGGACTCTAACACAGTTTTGTTAACATCATTTTAGACAACATTTAAGGTTCTGTCACCAGTCATCAGTGTATTCAGTCACATGTTTTTGTACCATACAGAAATCCTGACTTCAGAGAGGTGACACTAGAAAAAGACGGCAAGGAAGTCTTAAAATTCGCGATCGCGAATGGCTTCAGGAATATACAGAATCTCGTGCAGAAGTTGAAGCGCGGCAAATCGCCCTACCATTATGTAGAGGTCATGGCGTGTCCTTCGGGTCAGTGATAGCTATAAAAATTACTCATTGCTTAATTGAGGCTGTCAGCGCATAAGTGGCCTAACCCTCAATTATTCATATTCTGATTCATCTTCTACAATTAAATAAAAATGGGTTAAAATTTAATTCAAAATCGTCATTCAATTCAGGCGTCAATAGATGGCGTTGCAAAAGTTATCATAAGTGGCCTAAGCCGCTTTATCAGAATATGAATAATTGAGGGTTAGGCCACTTTTGCGCTGACCGCCTCAATTATACTATATCAACATTTAGCCTATTAAAGGCCCCACTGCTAGGACACAGGCCTTCTCTATGGATGAAATAGGGAGATTGGGCCGTGACCCACTACTGAGGTGCAGTGCGGATTGGTGGGTGCTAACGACTGAAGATGCAGCCAGGACCAACGGCTTAACGTACCTTCCGAAGCACGGAGGAGTGAGAGATCATAAATATTTGGTCACCTATCCAATTATACTATATGTATACTGAGACTTATTGAAACACAGTAAACTTTCAGAATTTTATTAATATTTGGTTGATCCTTCGAGCTGGATTAAAAATATTTGAATTTAATAGAATTTTATAAAACACAAAACGGGTTTTATATTTATATGTAAATATACAATATTAGCCCCCCTAACATGAGCACCGCGTTATGACATATCGCTCGTTTTTATCACGCCCAATTGTCAAATTACTATGGAGTTTGACATTTAGACGCAATAAGAAACGTGATATAACGTAAATTATGCTACCGGGACAGGCTTATCGTTGGCGAGTAATTAATTATTCAAACCCCTCTCTACCATCGCACATGGACAACAAATATGTCCACCACACCTAGCCGAGTGCAGATTGGTAGGTGATAACGACTGTAGATGCAGCCGGGACCAACTTCTTAACGTGCCTTTCGAAGCACGAAGAAGCTTGAGACAATAAATTTTTGGTTACCCATCCTATGACCGGGCATTGCGATATTAACTTTAAATTCAGTTCGCTATACATACCTACTTCATATCGTACTACCCCATTCACTGAAATGTGCTAAGGTAGGACTGACTAACGCTAGGACTAAGCTTTTGTTAGTCCGCCCAATGACAGTTCCCGTTCTTGTATGACGGTATCCCTGTGTTTTTATGATGCGAATAGATTTTATAGTTATCGACGGATTGCAGCGTAATCATCATTGTCAGCCTATTAATGTCCTCACTGCTGGGGCACAGGCCTTCCTTATGGATGGAAAAGGGAGGTTGGGCAATGACCCACCACGCGGGCGGGTGCTAACGACTGCAGATGCAGCCGGGACCAACGGCTTAACGTGCCTTCCGAAGCACGGAGAAACTCATGATAGATGATTTTTGGTCACCCATCCAATGACCGACCACCGCGAAAGTTGCTTAACTTCAATGATCGCAGCCGAACGCGCTAACCACCTGCGCCATCGAGCTCCTCTACAGCGTAATAGCAGCGTGTAATGATAGTTGTATGTACGCGTGACAGGTTGTCTGAACGGCGGTGCCCTAGTCCGCAGTGCGAGTAGCGAGGGGGGGCGGGAGTTGGTACGAGCCCTGGAGGCTGAGTACGGCCGGTTACCGCTCGCGTCGCCGCCACGCGCCGCCCGCCGCCTGCTGGCGCGCCGGCTACACGCCGACCGCGCGCGAGCCACACTACACACGCACTACCACGCGCTCGAGCGGTCCGACGTCGCGCTCAACATCAAGTGGTGACCTGCTCGCTATAAGCACGCTGCAGGCGCAGTACGGCCGGTTACCGCGTGCGAGCCACACTACACACGCACTACCACGCGCTCGAGCGGTCCGACGTCGCGCTCAACATCAAGTGGTGACCTGCTCGCTATAAGCACGCTGCAGGCGCAGTACGGCCGGTTGTATTTAAAAAAATGATAACGAAATTCCGCACTCGACGAATCGGTCGTAAATAACATGCAAGTTAGATAGTCCTGAACATGTTGTGTTCGATCTGTAACACTGTAGGAAGGCCAATGGGGGAAGATCTTCCTCCGAGCTGGGTGATGGTAGCTCAGGGGCCGCGGCTGATATTGGTCGGGCATCGTATATATGAACTGTTGGCTACCGAATTTTACTTGCGCGATGTAGGCTTTCCTTACGTTGTGAACGCAGCGCCGGTACTGCCATCTCTTGAGGATGCGTAAGATTGTTTCCTCCATGTTAGTTATATGTGGGGCGTGTAGATGTCGCCGCCACAACACCTCACACATAAGCATTATTAAAATTAAGGGAAATTATGGTGTTTGTTAAGTAAAATATAAAGTAAAACGCTGAACATAACTATATTAATCAATAATAATAACTTCAGTAGGCACTTAACTCGAAACCGCCGCTACTGCCGAATGTGTAACGTGATGTAACTTTTTATTTCCCGCTAGTAGCTTTTATTCCAATAATTTTGTAAATTAAGCATAGGTGAATGTTTGTCGTCTAGTATAAGAAAAAAGTGTGTTAAACACACGTGCGCTGAATAGATATACAATTATACATATTATGTACAGTAAACCGTACCTTAAGCACGAACAACTAGCGAGGAAGTATTCGTATCGCCATCATCAAAGTGTCTATGGAAGGTGCAAGTTTGTTCTTACGTCCGCTAGGGACGCTGCACAGTTTCCATAGAGACTTTGACGATGGCGATAGGTACTAATACTTTCTCGGTAGTTGTTCACGCTTGGGGTTTTGTTAAAATTCATTGAATTATTTAAATGTTTTTATATGAATTTTACGTTATTGTAGTTTTCTATTTGTATTAAGAGGTCGTGAAATTTTTAGGCCATCCTTAACTAACTAGCTAGCGAAGGTGAAACTTGTATAAGGTGAATGTAAATACACAACAATAAAATTGTTTTCTCTTAGTCGTTTTTTTTTAAAGTGAAACTTCTTATCGGAAGGGGTTGTAAATATACCAATCTTATGGAAAATATGAAACGGAAATGCTTCACGGGCGTCATACGACTATATATATATATGTATATATATGTGTGTGTGTGTGTGTGTGGGATGCGTGCGCAGCTCTTCCCGACGAGCATGAAAGTAGGAGTGTAACTCGGCGAAGGCTGAAACGCTTCGAGCGTCACAGGCGACAATATATATATATATATATATATATTCATATTATTAGTTCAACAAGGTGGACCATAATATTTTAATCCACAAGTTAAAACGGTACGGCATTCATGGACCTCTGCTTTTGTGGTTTAAATCGTATTTAAAGCATCGGGTGCTGAGGGTCGTTATTAACGGTTATACATCCAGATCTTTCACGGCAACTTCAGGAGTTCCTCAGGGCTCTATTCTGGGTCCTGTGATTTTTCTAATTTTTGTTAATGACATACCTGAAATAGTTAAACATAGCAAATGCTCGATATTTTCTGATGATTTGAAATTATATCGGCCAATTAAAAGTCAAGATGATGTAAATTTATTGCAAAATGATCTGGATGCTATACAATAAAATGGTACTCAATGCGGATAAATGTTTTGTAATTAAGTTTACTAAAAATAAAATTATTCACACACCTACATACTCAATTGACTCCAAGCAACTATCTTAGGTCAAAACCATTCGTGATCTGGGTGTCATACTGGATAAAAAACTCACTTTTGTAAACCACGTTGACGTTATTATTAATAAAGCGTGGAGAATGTTGGATTCTTTGAAAAGGATTTGCAGGGATTTTCATAATTCAACTGCAATTTTGTGCTTGTACAGTTCTCTCGTTCGTACTGTTTTGGAATATGCCTCTTGCGTATGGAATCCACAGTAAAAAATTCATAAAGAAAGAATAGAACGAATCCAGCGCCAATTCACAAAATTTTTGGCATTCAAAAGTCCTAACTGTCCCTATTGCGCAAATTATATAAATCGTCTGAAACATTTAAAAATTGACACTGGAGAAACGAAGAAAATGTGCCGACATCTTGTTGCTTCATAAGTTAGTTAATGGAAATATTAATGTACCTGATATGCTTGCTGAAATTAATTTCACAGTTCCAAGAAGAATTCTACGTTATCCAATCTTGCCATTTACAAAACCGTTTTTCCGAACCAAGATCCCAAATCGATTGATGGAGACTGTCACCTATCTTTCTCATCACTGAAAAAGAAAATATTTTCGATTGTGTAACAAATACCTCTATGAGTAACAATTAACTTACCTCATGTAGATATTTGGAGAATAACTTTAGAGGCTTATATTCTGCCAAAAAATGTACGGAAATTGCACCTTAAAAAATAATTCACATAGACTTGTAATACCCATTTGTTTTTCTTTTTATGTAATAATTGTGATATTGTTATTGGTGTGTCTAATAAAATAAAAATATGAGTGATGCGTGAGCAGCTCCATTCCCCTATGCCTTATGCACCGCCTAATGTTAGGTTTCCATGTTTGCATGTTTTCCATGCTCGGTATGGAAGTTCGTTCAGACCTGAATCTAAAGAACTACATCGAAACCGTGATCAAAACAGCTTCACGCAAACTCGGAGTCCTGAACAAGTTGCGGCGTTTTTTCACGCCCGATCAACTGTGCTTGTTGTACAAAACGCAAGTGCGGTCCTGCGTGGAATATTGCTCGCACCTCTGGGGTGGCTCCGCCAAGTACTTGCTCGATGCTTTGGATAGGTTACAGCGGCGCGCCTACCGCATCATAGGCGATGAGGAGGTGACTAAACACCTTGAGCCTCTTCAATTACGCCGTGACGTGGCGTCACTAAGCGCGTTCTATCGTCTGTACCACGGCGAGTTTTCTGAGGAGTTATTCTCTCTTCTTCCACCTTCCCCTTTCCTTCAGAAGACCACGCGCGCTGGCCTACGTTGTCACCGTCTAACTGTGGCCACAATTCCAACGCGTACCAAGAAATTTGGTGACTCATTTCTTTGTCGCACTATCCGTAAATGGAATGCTCTGCCCTCCCTCTTACAACCTGGGATCCTTTAAAAGAGGCCGGAAGAAGCAACATGCAGGCCGGCAGGGTGAGGATGGCTGGTGTGGCAGGTAGAACTGCTGTATCAGCTATCCTGACGTCTGGAACCTCACCTTCACTTAACATCAGGTGGGGTGGAGTCATTTGTCGGATCTATCTATAAAAAAAAAGGTTAAATAAGAAAAAAGTTTCACTTCGGATGTTTGGTCCGTGCACACATTTTTTTTGTATAGCAACCAAGCCCATCAGTACGTCACCGTGAATCATAAATATTTAATTGTTTCTTTCTGTAACAGTACCGCTTGTGCACTGTCACTTAAGGAATCGGGTGCTTTATGTTAACGCGTTTATGTAGATTCGCTGCCATCTAGAATGTGATAATGCCCTCGGACACCGTACGTGGCGATGCCGTGACGACACGGTGACGAGAATATGACGATTTCATTCTTAAAAAAATATCTAATCACACTAATATTATAAAGGCGAAAGTTTGTGATCTATAACTTTTAGGCGATAAAAGATTGATTCTTTTAATCTAAGGGTTAATTTAAACTAGCGTAGAGTCGAAGCGCATCGCAAAATTCTTCACAACTAAAGCGAAGTTACACGAATGCGAGCGAATACGAGCGTATTCTCGCGAATACGCTTTTATTAGTTGCAGTGCTATTGCATCACTTTCCAGTTGATCTATCAATACAGGCTAATTTCCTACTGATGACGCGTAGGTTGGTTAGTGAGCCAATCAGCGTTGGTCACGCGCAGACGCGCGAATTCCGTCGAATGAGTGCGCGTCTCTTTAAATCTCCGAAGTAATGTGTGCAGTCCGCTGTGGAGATAAGGTTGAATTTGTTTTGTTAATAATTGGATTTACGCTTCGATGTGCTTCAACTCTGCGCTAATATAAATTGACCCTAAGAGCTTCAATTAGATTAAGGTAACAGAAGGTAACTCTTTATAGGTGCTTACATCAAGATAGAATGGAAGAAATAACCTATAGGTTCGCCAACTTCTTCTATACTGTACAGCTATTCGCAGAAATGCTTGCTGGAGGTACCACTCCTATACTGGTGACATCTGGGAATTATTTTCAAAAATAAAGTACGCTCTCTATTTATTAGAACTCCAGTTACCAGCAGAGATAGTGAACCTTAGATCTGGGAACTCATAAAAATATATTATGTATATTATACGTAGGCACTGTCGGACCACAGAGAGAGGTTAGAAGGGTTATCATAGACCGTTTGTATTGGAACTCGCCGGCTCGACCCCACTACACTTCCACCTAATAGATAGTAGCAAATCAAGCGACGCGACATCAAACCATCGATCCAATCAGCGCTCATACCCGGGAACAACGACGCAATTAGAACCAAGTTTGGTCAAGCTACGAGCATTTGCTCACACATAACTGCGGCACGCCTGCCCCGGCCCCGAGGCTCTTCTAAACTTTTTCTGCGTTCTGTGCGCGGACAATGCTCGGAAGCAGACCCCTCTATCCCAGTGGGCACTTAGGGCAAGCGCCCAGGGCCCCGCGATCGATAGGGGCCCACCTCAGATCAAATACAAAGTCCCTAGTTCCTGTTAGATCACCAAACGGGGGTCATAGGGGCCCTATTATCCTAATAAACCCAAGGCCTCCAATAGGTCAAAGACGGCACTGCTCGGAAGATTACCGTTACTTGTAAATGGCACGATAATCAGTTGCCGTCGATCAAATGCTTCAAGTTCGTCCACACGTCAGTATGAAGCGAACGACGCAACCCGCAGCTACTGTGTTGTACAAATATGTGTGGTGTTTACAAAACAACGCACGCGGCACGCTCTTGAGTCGATAGCGGTTAGTGGGCAGTGCAGCGGCATGGGCGACTTCCGGGTCACCTCCGCCAGGACCCTGCTCATCCTGATGGCCAGCTTGGCCGCCGTGCACACCACGGGCTTGGGAGAATGCCCCGTGTACCCCCAACTGCCGAACTTTGATATCAACAAAGTGAGTATGCGTATTTGATATTGTCACCGTCACCGAAACTGTTGTAATTTTGTAGATTCATTGCACTGTGTTTATAAAATTGTTAGTATATTGAGGCAACGGCGAGACGAGAGTAATTTTAACTTCTTTTTTCAAAACAACTGTGGGAAATTTACGGAATGGTGTACAATAGGTGTGATGTGTGAGGGGGTACAGTAAACGAAATTCTATTTAGTCCGTCAGTTAGATGATCAAAAAATAATGGACACGAATTTTTTCTTAGGGCAATCAACCAAAAATGACAAAGTAAATAGCCCGTCAAAGTTTGGGAGTAGGGGCTCGTGACGTCACTTTTTAGTGAATTTTCATTTAAAAGTGTACTCAAACGTGACGTCATGCGACTTTTCGAAACAGTATATCTCTGCAATGTTTATATTATGTGAAAAAAGAAAAAATACGTGTCCACCACTTTTTGATAATGTACCTGATAAACGAAGAAAAAAAAATAGTCATCATCCCTATTAATGTTGTTTTTGAAAATATCCCGTTGTCACGAGGGGGCGAGAGGGAGCGGTGGCTGAGAGTCTCAGACTGAGATCCTCTACGCCTCTGTCCTATACAATTCGGTATCGGGTTCGAATCCCGTGAGTTGAACTTATGCTCTCCATTTTATATTCGTTTCTTGACTATTAATTTTCCTACAAAGTTTCTTCTTTAGTTTCATTAAAATAACATAGCCCGATTAGAAGTTAGAATTTAACTACAATCTATTCAATTGAGGTACCTACATTTGACCTCGTCAACTTCCAATTAATGGAACGCATATAGGTAACACAATCTACCTAATTATAATATAAAACCTACCCAATTATAATATACAAATCAAAAACTGTACTGTAACGCACGTTTGTCACTGTAACCAATCACTATTTGTGTACATCGTACTGTGTAATTACCTACATACATTCTCCATTTTAATATAGATCGATGACAAACCGCAGTCAGTTGGATATCGTAATGAAGTTGGTTGTTTTTAAAAAATTGAAGGCCGGGGTCGACCAACATTTCCATGAATTATAATTTAAAATAGGCACATCGTATTACGAATAGAGTATTATGTGTTACTTAGCAGAATATGCACTTTGCGTCTTAGACTTTGTATATATACATTTTCTATTAATAACACGCTTCTATAAATAATTAAAATATAATAATGTTAAGATCCCTTGTGGTGTTGCTGAAATATCAAAGGTCCATCATAATCTTATATATAAAATTCTCGTGTCACAATGTTAGTTACTATACTCCTGCGAAACGCTTGACCGAGTATTATGATATTTTATATATGCATATTCAGTAGGTCTGAGAATCGGCTACTATCTATTTTTCATACCCCTAAGTGATAGAGGTTGTCCCAACCCTAATATTATTTTTATTTTTACTATAAATTTTATTTTTTTATGGTTCTTGATTAAAAAATGTATAAAACACTAAATTCTCACCTTTCTACCACCAGCCACTTTTTTATTGCGGTACGAAGAGCGCTGGGTCAGCTGGTAATATATAGAGAGATATCTTGTTTTGTTATTTGGGTTGCACTGATGGTTCCGAAATTTTTATTCCTATTAGCTGATAAACATTTACTATCTCTGTATAACATTTTTTTTTAATTTTTTTGAAGTCCCTTAAAAGAACTGGTCCTTCGAGCCGGACGCAATATTTTTCTTTATATTAAAATACGCACAAAGTTTAAATAATTTGGAAAAGTAAATCAAACATATAGATATAATATTGAATAATCGACGTTCTAAGTAGAATAAAGAATAATTGGAAAGTCTGAGACTATAAAGAGAGGTAAACTTGCATATTTTGGTTAGACACTAAAAGAAATTATAAAGATATATATGTTTTTTATTAAAAATGAAGGGTTTTAATAGTTAGAGGGCAACAAGAAAATATATTGGCTTAATACTATAGATATAAAGATGTGAGCTAGCATGAGCGACGCATTCGCGCGGCTTGCAAAGAACTGAGTAACTTTTGCCGAGATTGATTGCTGACGCCCGCCCCTTAGACGTGGCAACATAAGAAGAACATATCAATAAATAAATAAATCAAATTAAACTTGATTTAAAATACATAACTTTCCGATTAATATGAACTAATGGGATTATTATGTATTTTCGTACTTCCGTACGAGTCACCGCGTTGGGGTCGCGGCAGTAGACGCTGCGTAGCCGCTCGTTGACACCGCGCGCGCCGATGAGCCACTCATGAGCAATATATAGCAGTACGCGCCGCCTCGTGACCTCTTTCATCTTTGTATTTACAGTGTTATATATGCCTACTGCATTAACATATACTCACAGTTTAATAAAGTTGTAGTGTAGAGTATCCTCAGAAAAAAATAATTGTTCTGTGACAATATTATTACATAAATACCCTTTTCACAAAATAGTAGTAGGTAGGTTGCAAGTGAGAATTCTAAGTTCGTGTTAAGTTAAAAAAAAGTCAATGGATTTTATTACGTTGTTGGGTGGTAATCGCCGTATTTAAAGGCCTCAGAAATCGGCATAAAACCACCGTTCCTGGCTCGTCTCACAAACCACGAATGAAAACAGAGGCACCACCACGAACTCTGACAGTTGCGTAATAGTATCTCATCTTTTAATTTCTATGTAACTGGCTCCTTGACGATGACGGTAGCTAGGGCTTCTGGACTACGTGCTTAATCAGTATAGCACAGAGTACTTCTATTTGAGGAGCTGGCGAACAAAACGGTATAATTACATAAAATTAAATTTTACAGGAGCTGTATAAAACTGAATGACATACCTACAGTGAGGTTTTGGTATGGTTTTAAATTCAGTAATTTTAACACTGTTTTTAGGCGGATTTGAACGAAAATTATTTGAGATACAAATTCAACGGGCCCGAAACCTATAAAAAAAATGTAGTTTGACCAGATGCGTAATTATATCGTTTATTGGTTATACACCAGCTCCTCATTGTACATTCCTTCACTTCACCATCTCTGATAACAGCGTTGTGTCACACAAATATGAAAAAAAAAACATATTGCTGGGAAGAACTGACTGGCTGACACGAAAATAGCATTAACAATCAATCACGCACAGTATAATTTCAATGGTGTTTGTAACAGGCTAGCCCTAAATAGCGTTGTCAGGCGTCCGGCCGTTTATTTTGGCCGAACATGCAATTTTTGATTGCATGTTCGGCCAAAATAAACGGCGTCCGGCTTCTCCGGCTTTTGTTAGGCTTTTACGTTTCGCAAACGAGCCAAGCACAAAAGTGTTGACAGTCAATCACTTACTTTATTTTTTTTATCGTACCTAATATTACTGAGCCACACAATCCTTAATAATGTAGGGTGTCCGGTCTTTTTACCCAAATGTCCGGCCAAACTGGCTGGTCTGTCCGGCTATTAGGTTTGGCGGCCTGGCAACCCTAGCCCTAAACAGAATAAACGATATTGAATTCGAATACATTTCAGATGGCGGGCACGTGGTACGAAGTGGAGCGCTCGTTCTACTTGATGGAGCTGTCGGCCAGCTGCACCGAGATCACCGTCAGCCTCAACGAGAGGGGAAACTTCTACATTAGCGTTACTACTATTAATAGATGGTTAATTTTATTTCTTTTTAAGCGTTTTCATTATAAGGAGCGCGATGGGGCTAGTCGTTAGCGCGTTCGGCTGCGATCGTTGAAGTTAAGTAGTTTTCGCAGTGCTCGGTCATTGCATGGGTTAGTTAGGTACCAAAAATTTACTATCTCGAGCTCCTCCATGCTTCGGATGGCACGTTAGGCCGTTGGTCCAGCGGCTGCATCGGCAGTCGTTAGTAGGGATGCAAAATCTTTTGGGATATCGATATTTATATCGAAGTCAATTCCCGTACCATAAGCACAACAATTTACATTTTATCGCGTCTAACTGTCAAACTTTATAGTCATTTGACAATTGAGCATGATATAAACGTGCTATAAGTATATCATGACGCGGTGCTCATGCTAGGGAAGCAGGTAAATATTGATATCCGATATATCGATAGGTAATTAGTAGGGATGGAAACTTTTTTGCTATGTCGATAGTCGGTTAAATATCGATATTCAATAAATCGACCATGCCGACGCTAAATTTATCGATATTTTCAGTGTAATTTGTAGCCGTAGCAGTAGCCTTTATTTTGCTAACTTATAAAACTGTTAAATTATAAACAAGCTACAGCTTATATCTAGGTAAGAATAAATATTAACAAATAAAGCGATCCAGAATTTAATTTCAAAATTACCTATTCTTACGGAAAGTTAAACACGTACCTAACTAAATGTTTTAGGACCGGCAGTCCGTCGGTGACATACGCGATCGGCGTGCCGAGCCACAACGGATCGTCGGTGTTCCGGTACAAGGTGAACAACCGCATGCCCTACCTGATCGGGCGCCTGCTACCAGGCGCGGGGCTCTACCACGTGCTGTTCACAGACTACGAGCAGTTCGCGCTGCTCTGGTCCTGCTCCAGCGTCAGTATCGCGCATTCAGGTAACTATTATACAACCAGTTGCATTCAGGTATCGAGTATGAGTCTAGTAGCAGTGTCAAACGCATGCCCTACCTGATCGGCGCCTGCTGCTGGCGCGGAGCTCTACCACGTGCTGTTCACAGACTATTGGGTGGTTCGCGCTGCTCTGGTCCTGCTCCAGCGTCAGTATCGCACATTCAGGTAACTGTTATACCCTCCGAAGCATTCAGATATCTTTTACTCGTATAACTGAAACAGTTGTCCTATCTAATTGGGCGCCTGCTGCCGGGCGCGGGGCTCTACCAACTGCTGTTCACCGACTACGAACAGTTCACGCTGCTCTGGTCCTGCTCCAGCGTCAGTATCGCGCATTCAGGTAAATATTTTACCCCCATATACATTCAGGTAACTATTATACACCCATAAGCACTCAGATAGCTATTATACCCCCATAAGCATTCGGGTAACAATTATACAACCAGAGGCAATCCGGTGTCGAGTACCAGTCTAGTAGCAGTGTCAACGTCAAAATAGACGTCTATTTTGTTTAATGATTGTCACCCGTTGGTGCAGATCGTATGTGGGTGCTGGGGCGGACGCGCGAGATCGACGCGGCGCTGCGAGCGCAGATCTACGAGCTCATGCTGGAGCTGCGGCTCGACCCCGACCGACTCATCATCTCCAAGAACAACAATTGCACCGACCCAGACGCCGACCCCGACCGCGTACAACCAATAAACTAGTTAACTCAACACTAGTTTCTTTTATACTTTAAGTCGCGGCACGAAACTCTAGCCCTTTTTTTTGTTAACGCAGGCCAAACCTCTGTTTACAGACGACGACGAAACTCTAGCCCTGACCGTTATTGCGCAGAAGTAAAAATTAAGATGTCTTGGGGGGAAACGAGGTGCGCGGGTGGGCGTGCGTTGCGCCGATTGGCTCTCCAGTCGTACCCATGCGCAGCTATTCCTGACGCATTTAGTTCAGCGCTGGAGTTACGTGCCGCGACTTGTTCCATCTCTTTCACGATCGACCTTAAGAAAAAATGTATTTAAGTAGGTACTAGCGTCCACCCGCGACATGGTCCCGTTAATTTTTGTTTTTTGAAAATCCCACAGGAATCTAACATTTTCCCGGGATAAAAAGTATCTTATGTCAAAAACTATATGCATACTCAGCAAAATCCGTATAGTACGTAGTTTTTGCGTGATTATATAGAAAACATGCAAACTTTCCATTTATAATATTAATAGGATTTTACTGCTTGATTTTTTATATCTTCCAAAAATTTTAAACATCAAATTATCTCGACCAAGGTATTAAGTTTGAACGTACGTAACGTAGTAGCTGTCTATGAAAGCTGTATATTTCTTTGTAACATATCGCACAAAGTTCAGCCTTTTTTGTGTTGCTTGCTATATCCGTTCGCCCCTCTGAAGCTTAAGCCACGTGAAGTACAAGTAAGTGCTAATGTTTATTTTAATATTTTTAAAATGGAAATATTGAACTTTGTACACGCACTTTACTTATACCGTGGTTTTACCTATGAAATCTAATTCCACCTTTTTACTACCTACTCTTCTAGGCAAGAGGTTGTGATATTGTTATGTACTTTCGGTAAACAAGTATTTTGTTTCCTAACTAGGTTTTTTATTTCAGATCAATTGAATTAGTGAACAAATTAAATCCGCAAGAAGGAAATCTTCTAAACGTGTAAAATAAAACGAGAAAAAATACTCTCACACTTTCTATTTTTTGAAAAAATATTTTCTATATACAATCAATATAGAAAACTTATTAAAGATTGGGAAGTCTCGTTGAAAATTTTAGCGACGACTTTCACATCACAAGGAATGATTTGTGTATTTTTGTGATTAACAATACATTACATTCTGGAATTGTACAAATCAGCAGTCTACCTTGTTTGTAAGCGGTCACATAGAGTAAGCCATTTCAGAATACAAAAATAAATTACCCGTTTAATGGCTCTTTTACACAGGATCAGTTACATCTAGCCCAAGAAACAAAGTTCGCGGTTATACTTGATAATAATGCTTAATTTATCCGCACTGCAGCTGTTTACAGATGTTTAGGTAAGTCGTAAGAACCTTAAGTTTAAAAATCGAGGAATGGAAATTAGTGCTTTTATTGTCTTAAAACTTTTTACTAACTCTTACCGTTTATCTATTACTGTTGTTTATTTGCACATGTTTGTAGTTTTTTCTTTTTAAAGCCTTAAAAATATTCGTCATTAAATTCCCTACAACTTTTGAACCTTTTTTTTATTAAATAAATACTTTTAAAGTATGGGTCGTTGACGTAGCAGTGGTGTCGATTCTTGCAAGATTATCTAAACCTAAAAGTAAATTTAACATCAGTCTCCCCTTTTCATTCTCTATAGAGAATGACAGGGATACACTGTTGTCAAATTTAAGTTTAGCTTTAGAGAATCACCAATATCTCAGTAATGAACACGTGAAATTGACACATTCCCCGATTTTTAAAACTGAAGCTTCTTACGACCGACCGTAACATCTGTAAAAAAGCGCGCGAGTGCAGCAAAATTTTGTTAATTGGCTTTACTCGACAAGTTTTGCTGTGTTGCTTGGGCTATCTGAAACAACATGCTTCAGTGCTGAGGCCCAAGCACGAATTCTAACAAGTCCATAATCATATCGCATCGTCAGTTTATATGAAAAATAACCAGCGCCCCTAGCGGACGTAAGAACACACTGGCTCCTTCCATACAAAACTCGGATCTGTTAAAGTTCCTGTTTAAATAAGTCGTGGTGATTTATCTCAGCCACGTGTTGATGGAAAAACGATAAGAAAATGAGTCAAAGACACGAAGTCCGAAGAATCATAGTTTGAAGACCCACCTAACGAGAATGTTCAGGGATGCAGGCAGGGCCGGATTTAGGATTGTGGAGGCCCCGGGCCACTTAGGATTTGTATGCTTACTGACCCATCGAAATGTTATTTCTTCAGCTGTTGTGGAGGCCCCTGGGCCACGGCCCCACCTGCCCTGCCTTAAATTCGGCCCTGGGTAAAGGTAAAAGAGCAAAAAAAAATATCAAAGGAAAAGATGTTTACTAGTGTTTACTAGTTGGAATTTTAAAGATTTTTTTTCCGAAGTCTCTATTGTGGGGGCCCCCGTTTGTGGAGGCCCCGGGGCTTTCGCCCCAGATGCCCTCCCCTAAATCCGGCAGTGGATGCAGGCTCAATAATATTCAAGAGAGAGTAAATAAAACAAGTTTCGTGATGCGTGATCAACGATATTAAATACCCTAGATACACCAACACGAACAAAATCGTGCCCGAAACCTGTCCAAAAGGTACATTGAATGATTTACGAAGCTCCCTAAGATGATCGCGTAGTCAAAATCAATATAAGGCATTATTTAAATATTGAAAGTAACCTTTAACATATACTGTATAAGGTCTTAAATAAAACACATGCGTCAAGGACTTCTGACAGTTCGAAATGCAAGCTCGTAAAATTTTACGACTTATTGCTATATGCGGAAGAATTTAGACCTTAGTTCGTTGACTCTACGCGCAATTCTGAACGCGCGGTTAGCAATATAGCAGGCACGGACCGCGAGGAAAATAGACGGCTATATGGCGACGTATCACCGACCATGCATTTGAATATCACAAATATTTTATATTAAATCAGTTTATAGTAAGTATTACACCAAATTTACTGACGAAAAATCTACACTTTTCGTACTCTAAGTATTGTTTTCGCATTTTTTCGCGGAGCTCTGTGGCATCTTGACTTTGTAACGGTCCGCGCGTGACTGTGAACCAAGAAGTGCTTGAGTGGAGTTCATGCACTTCTTAATTGAGACACATTTTGAGCGCTCACGGTGTATCTAGGGTATTTTATAGCGTTGTGCGTCGTCTGAATTGCGAAACGTCTATAAATAAATAAATCTATATCGTTGAAACTTGTTTTATTTAACGAGTGGTGTGCGTGAAAACCTAAAAAAAGAAGAGAGAGTATCTAAAACAGACAGCATAGACTTGAAATACTCATGTTATAAGTAGGTAAAGTTATTGGTTTAATTTTAATTATTCTTCCACGAACCTGCTCTTATCGTCGTTGTGTAATCAAGTTGCTTTAAATATGAAATTATCAAATGATCATGCATAAATAGGCCCAAGATATTTTCTATTGCATAACTTTTCATCAATATTCTTTTGTGAATGTGTCAATGTGATATAGGTATCCCAAATTAAATATTACCGTGTATAGTTTATCAAAGCTTTTGAAACGAAAAAAATGTGAAATAAAATAATGAGGGCTATCGCGTCTGAAACCGCCGCTAGAGGCGCTTGTGTTGCGTGAGGTCTCCGAAATGTCAAATGTTATAGCTTGCGGGTTGACTACGCGGTTTTTTTCTAATTAAAATAATAGTTGTGAATATTTGGTAATAAATCAGACTTATTATGGCAAATATGAGTTACGTGTCAATGATTGTCATTTATTTAAAAGCGGAGCTAAGAAAAAATATTGTCCTTCTTTTTTCCGAACAAAACGGGACTGCGCAACACTGTGGCATGGGCGATTATGTTTAAGATACGATTCTTTTGTATTAAAATGTAAACTTTGATATCACGAGCGTGTTTACTAACTTTAAAAGTTACACTTCAGGACCTCACCCAACAGTGGCGCCATCTGGTGAGACAAAAAACGATAGCTCAAAAATGTTATTCATAGATATTGTGCTAAGAAACTCTCATAAAACTTATAAACCTAAGGGATTGCCCACATTATTTCATTTAAAGTGTAATTTTGTAAAATATCTGTTAAAAATATAGTACATTGGTAGAAAAACATCATGCATCTTTACCATAAATCTTATGATATAGTGATGCAGTGACATTTCATTTTTATTAAATAGTGTTGGCAATCCTTGTACAGCAGCGTAATGAAGTGACCTAAATTTTTTTCTTCCTAGTGGTCAAACTGCATAGTCAGTTTGTCCAACAGGAATAATTTACAAATGGAACAATTTAGTTTAGGTAAAGTGTTCCATGTTCCATGAAAAATTAACTAGCTCAAGGCTCATCACCATAGCTTTGGAGAATAAAGTTGTGAATGGTGAAATATATTTGCTGTTACAATTTACAATTTCATGTATGCATTTAAAATAGGCTATTTGACAGTATTAAACATAAAATGCCAATTTTTGCACGTCTATTTAACATGAACTTTGGGAGTGATTTCACTATTCTGAAAAAAAATATATTATTATTATTTTCGAAGTATTTTACTGCTATATTTTTAAATATTTTTTTACTCGAAAAATTTCAACGCTGCCAGGCTGTAGACGGGACTCTCTATCTCTCCCTCCGCTATCAGGGCAGATGCTCTCACCAATTATGCTACCGCGGCCTTAATGACCGTGTTGAATTACTCCTAGTATTTCTAAGGCTGCAATTGTGCGGGTTCGAGTTCAGTCTACTGCGTGGCCGCGTGGAAAAAAGTATTTCATTATATTAATCAAAATCTTAAAATAAAAAAATATTTTTGGATATATTGTCACGTGACCGAAAACGTCTAAGATTGGCGGAGCATAAAATGACGTCACCTGCCTGTAAACATCCTGACGAAGTGATATTACTTTGTACTGTTTGACATTACCGACCCGTTAATTACTCGACCCGACAACCCTAGACAGAGAGTCCTGGCGCCTTAAAATGAAGAGAGTTGACACCATATAAAGTGGGAAGAAGCAAGGACGAAGAAGAAGATGTTTGACGTTTTAATAAGAGCCAGTAAACTTGCTAGAGAAACGTTTCCGCAGCACTTGGGATTTAAATTTTATTCCCGTTAAGAAACGAATATATGCAACAGAATTATAAATGAATTGGTGTAAATGGTATGTATACACTAATAAATTAAGTATGAACATTTTCAAAAACTTGTCAAATAGCCTATTTGCACTGAAGGTGTTATGAACTTACAAAAGTTTGTCTGGAAATTTATTTATACTAATTTCATAGTGTTAAAAAAAAAATAATTGGCATTTAAATATGTAGCTCAGTTGATCAATGGGATTGTTGGATCATCATCTTGAATAACTAGTTGAGTAGTTTCAACACGAGAAAAACAATTCCTTTCGGAAAAAATAATTAGCCCAGTTTGACCACCAGGAAGAACCCCAAAATATACTTGTGCATTTATAAATTATTTTTCCTATTTAGATATACTATTGTTAACAAAAACATATTGACTTTAGCTATCTTATCAGGTTATAATAACATTAGATTTTGGTTAACATTTGGTGTAGTATACATGGCAAAACAGCACATGAAGTCTATGGTCTGTACTGCTAAAGGTAATGTATAAAGATGTATTGACATTCTTCTGAATGAGCTTGTGAAGAATCTAATCTGATAAAATCGTATAGTAAATTACATAAATTGGCAATTTCAATAACAATATTATTATGATTCTGTTTTAAGATCGAATATACTATCTATAAGTTAAAATAACAATAGGCCATATTTCTTATTATCTACCTTATTAAAAATACAAAAACATATGTCACAAAATCAACAAAACTATTTAAAATTAGAGAACAAGTGGAAATTATGGTATGGTGCCCAAAAGGAACCCAATATTTGACATCATAAATAATGCAATATAATACTAACATTGTAAAACATTAAGTACACAAACAAGTTAGCCCTGCAGACCATCACATTGGCAAATTGTACCATTTACTTGATTCATTTATAAAACCAGACAGTTTATAAAAACACTTGATATCACACAACACACATACATTGAAGATATACAGTGAACACATAAAAGTTGCCATGCGATCATAAAGTCAGGAAGGTATACAAGTATACTTTAGAGATTATTTTCCCTACTGATTACACAGTTTCTTACTTCAGTCAATTTGAGGCACTCAGCATCTCGATTTCTGTAATCATATGCTGAGATTGAGGACATGCTGTCCACTGGGCTGTCACAGTTATTAATTTGGTTATTTTCGATGTATGAATTTTGGTTTTGTCGAGAATTTTGAAGGGCATACTGATGCATCCACAGTTGTTTTTCCTCAACTTCTTTGCTTACCACCACAAATAATTCCTTCTCTTTGCTATCAAGCTGCTCCTTCAAATATGCAATAAGATCACTGCTCTGTAATGAAAATATTCAGACAAATGGTTAACAAATACTGTAGCCGCAAAATAACTATGCTTCAGAAACATCACAAATATAATTTTTGAATGAAAAAATCTCTGTCTGTTCAAGTAGTAAACAAGCATGACATGATTATGAATGATAAAGAATCACAAGTACTATAGAACTTACCCTCCCTATTAGTTGTGGTACTTCTAGTTTAGAATCTAGGTTATAGAAATTGCCTTGTATTTGACGTATAGTAATCCAGTGCCTTCGGCGTAAGGGTAGCATAACAAATCCTAACTTATAATCTGATGGCACATTCAAAATAAATCCACAAATGTTTGACAAATCTAAGCATCCAGGATCTCTGCAAGGTAATATATGAATTTTAATACAGTAAATTTAGAGTCCGTCTGTGTGTAATGAATAAGAATAGTAACTACTCTCACTTGTCAGTTAAAAATAATAGATAAAAAAAGGAAAAATCCAACACACACCAATTAGCCTAGCCCCAAAGTAAGCACTGTAAGGCTTGTGTTATGGGATACTAGATAGATGTTACATAATGAGTTCCAGTGATAATAAATGCAAAGACACGTCTGTAAGCTTACTTTCTTTTGTCAAACCAAACTGCTTCACAACCCTTTTTCTGTAAAGCTGCCATAATCACGTTAATATCATAATTGCCCAGGCCCAGCATGGATCGGTGAGGATTAATCCACACGTTTGGTGATAAGCGGCTGCAAATTGCATCAAGTTCCGATTTTGAAAAGGTTCCCCGAGTCTGAAAAAGTACAAGAGTATTTTGTTTAGCAAAACAATACTTATTACCTCACAGTTAAATTACTCCACTCAGATTAAAATTTAGTGTCAACAATATATCTATATCAGTATACCTGGAATAAATTATTAAGTGCATGCAGAGCACACAGCTCTTTGACTTGTTTTTCGTGATAAATTGTAGGCTTCGGATTCATTTCGTTCAAATTTATACAAACATTTTCCCACACACATAAATACAAATTGAAATTTTATTTGGCCATTAAAGAATTTAATTATACCAATACAGAGAAACGTCTTCTTATCAAATTATTCCTAAGAGTTAATTCGCAATAATTTATTATAACACATAAAATTTTAAAATTATTTTATCGAGAGATGGTGATGGACTGCTGCACGCTGTCAGCTGTCAATGTCAACCAGCAGTATTTTATTTTTAACGTTCTCCTTTTTCATGGAATGCAAAGGAAACAATACAAATACAGCTTTATATTCAGTTTTATTAATGTTCTTTTATGAATATTAAGTTCTCACGTTCACTTGGCTGGCATAGCGTATATTTTAAAGATTCACTAATTCGTATGTCAGAATGGTTGTAACACAAAATAACACCCATTTTATTTCGAAAGTATCCACTATAAACGAATAAAAAGAGTTTGTAAAGAATTTTATGACGCCAACTCTCTGAGTACTGAAACCTATGGAGATGTCATACCTATAAAAAATGTGTATACCTAAAGTTACTGGGAAACAACAACACTGTCAGAGGTTAAATCAGTCACACATTGGACAAATATCTAAATACGCTGTTTAAACAGGCAAATCAGCTAGCTACACAATTGACACAGCTGGATTACATGAAACGTCTGAAAAGTTAAAGAAAAAAACTGCTTAGGCTGAACCAAATATCCCAGGAACGCCCCCCCACTCGTAGTTCTGTCCTACAAAGGGGGGGCGGCGGAGGGTTCTTGGACGGGTAGGTCCAGAAGTCCCCTCCGCAGCGGATGGGGGACGTTACGGTGGGCAGTAGGCCGCGTACCCAGCCCCCACGCGCGGGCCTACCAGCGCACGTCTGCGGGTTCCCCGAAATATGGTGGGAGACCCCTGCCGTGGAGCCCCGGCGAGGCCGAGAAGCTGTTTAGGGCGGAGCCGTGGTAGAATCTCTAACGGGGACCCTGCGGCTCCGCAATAAGCAGTGTTGAAGGTATTCGCAGGACTTTTTTAGCGGATATTATGCTGTAAAGTGCCCGTAAGAGTTACGGGGTCCTCGGTGGGTAACCACTGGGGGGTCCGTTAGACTTGCGGGAGCCAGGTGTGAGGTCCGTTCGGCGGTGAGCCTCTTAAAGGCGCCGTCGTCTGTAAAAAGATTTTTTACCTGCGTTAAAAAAAAAAGGCTGAACCAAATATGAGTTGGAAGCTCGATGGAGCGTCCGATGCAACACGTGATTCCCATCAACTTTCATAGTCAAGAGGACTGATTACATGATAAGAATGTGAAAAATATTCAGCTCTTTAAGTGCCCTGAAAATTTTATACGTACAATATTTTCTAGTATTTATCACGTTTTATAGAAAAAAAGTGCTATTATACTTCAATAAAACAAAGACATATTTATTTTTCTGTCAGCTTTGTTTAAATCTATCACTATCTATTATGCAATATATAAATAATAGTGGTGTCGATTCTGACATGGTTTTCTAAACCTAAACTTCAATTTGACAACAGTGTATCCTTGTCATTTTCTATACAGAATGAAAAGGAGAGACTGATGTTAAATTTAGTTTAAAGTTTAGGGAATCAAATTATATATATAAATAGTAAGTAATAGATATATCACCAAATGAATGGATCAGTTCCTAAAATTACACGATATGTTTGCACTGAGTGTAACAATGACATAAATGCAAAAGTGCCAGAGTATTCGATTTTTGAAGTAGGCACTAACCACATTAGAAAAGCGCTAGATCTAGCGCCCAAAGCGCTAAAAAGGCAGCACTGCGGTAAAGTCACGAAAAAACTTTTGGCACAAAACACTGTAAATACAATAGACGTTGACAACTTATGTACAGATTGTTCATTTAAAATACTATGTCATCTCCTTAGGTTTCAGTATTCAGAGCGCCAATCGCAGTCATTGAAATCCCGTCAAAAACATCACTGCCAGTCAAATATGAATGCAGGATTTACACTACCCAATTTTAAGGAACCCTTACCCTGACTAAGTGTGGTGTAACGTAAGTTAGGGAGTAAAGGACCCGATCTAGGCGATCGGCTGTGGTGTAGTAATTGCTTGCAAGGGGCTACGCTCACCCTTTCGATTGGACCCTTAAAATTTGGTAGTGTAAATGCCAAATCGACACAAATGTCATTTCGGTTTTGTACTCGTTGTTTCTTTGTAAACAAACCAGAGAAACAAACACAATTAGAAAGAAGTGCAAAAGTATTTTATTTTGTATCAATTATTATCAATACAAATCCTTCGATGAAATAATAGAATATTAAATAAAAATCTGTGTTACTTTACTCCTTAAAAATGAAAAAGCTACCTTTAGTGCAAGATTCGTGTTACAATTTAACTGCTATAAACAGAAATTCCCTTAACCTATATCATTTATCAACTCAAAGGTTTGTAAGATGTTTGTATCAACTTCAAATGATTGTTGTTTAACATGATTTTCATTTCAATTGTTTTATTTCAGCCATTCAAATATATCTTCTCAGACATGCCTAAGGAGTGTTTGGGAATCCAACAACATACTTATGAATGAAAAATCTGATAAATTCTCTAACTTCATAAATGTTTTAACCCCTAATTGTGACAATGCAAGGTCCTGGAAAAGCAATTTGAGGTTTGGAAAGTAGTATTTCTATTTGGGATTAAAACAAATGTTATTTCACTTATTTTTAATTTATAAGATAGTTTAGTGTAGTTTATGAAAGATTTGCTCACATTTCAGTCACTGCACCGATGCAATAGCACTCTTTGAACAATCTTTATCAACATGTACACATTGCTCGCAAGGTTCTTCAAAAGCTATGAACCTAGATCAAATTCAAACCAACAAATGCATTTGCAACGTAAACCTAATTGCAACCAATTTACAAAACCAAAATGATGTACAGCAGATTGGGAAACAACCTTTCAATGGTGAAAATTATATTAGTAGTAGCAAAGTTATAGCTACAGATGAAAAGCCGTTAATGAAACCAAAATTTGGACGTCCCAAAGGACCATTAAAGTTGACAAACCAAACAACATCTAAATGCCCTCCCACATATCAGCATGTAGATCTAGAAAAAGAAGAAGAGGAAATGAAAGCACACAAAAGTAATGTGGCCAAGATAACTTTTAAAACTGCCAAAGAACAGCTTCTTGCGTCTAACCCAGCAGCCAAGAGAACTTTGGGCACCTCCAGAAAGGCACAAGCAAAATTTGTTTCACCCATGATAGGAGCACAGTAAGTTTCAATACTGTAAATCAAATGGATCCATGTTTTTGTATACACATAAATACACTTTGATTACAAAATAAAATACTGTTACAAGGGCACAGCTTATTTCAATCTGGAATTTCTTCCATCGGGCCTGCAGTAAGCAAAGCACATTGAAAAGGCAGTCAGTGTGTACACCTGAATATATGGCGAATTAAACATAAAAAATATACACAAATTCTATTCCTTATAATAATCGTATTCCTTTAATAAAACAATTATATGAAGCCTTTTTCATGTTAGTTATCATGCTTCTATTTCATTCAATTCAAATTATTTGTACCTTTAGTAGAAAAACTATAAGTGTAGGAGCGCTTTCCCCATTGTATAATATCTAAGGCATTTGTGTAATTAGTTGTATCAAATTTACCCATATTGATTAATCTAAAAATTTTCTTTTAGAGAAAAGCAAGAAAACTTGGAACCTGAAATAGCTGATGAGAGGCTAAAACATATAGATCCTAAAATGATTGAATTGATTGAAAGTGAGATCATTGATAAAGGAACTCCAATAGGTAACTGTCCATTTAGTTGTTTATTCCTATAATGATAAGGTCACTAAGGATTATTATTTTGTGGTTTTAATTAATTTTAGTAAATTTTGATGAAAACAATTCATATTTGCAGGCTGGGATGATATAGCTGGTCTCCATATGGCTAAGTCTGTAATACAGGAAGCGGTTGTATGGCCCTTACTTAGACCAGACTTATTTACAGGCTTAAGAAGACCACCCAAAGGCATCTTACTATTTGGGCCCCCAGGCACTGGGAAAACTTTAATTGGTAAGATATTTTTTTATATAATAGCAGTAAACTCGTCAAGCTCCTAATTTTTTGTTTTTAATAAAAATGATTTATTTCTTTACCATACAGTGTTTTTTTAAGTGTAAAGGCACCTGTACCAAAACAACCACTCTTTCATATTATAAGTTACATTATGGTAAGGTCATTGACATATTATGATTAAATCAAGGAACTAAATATATTATAGCGGGAGTTACACCACAGAGCTAAGTAAAATTAAATTTTACTAAGAATTTACCATGGCATGACAAGGAAATTTACGTTAAAACAAGTTGGTGCAACTCACGCTAATCAAAGCACATCTTAAAAACATGAAAATACAATTTAAAGTTTATGTACTTGCTATATGTTAAAAGAAGATAATATTTGTTTCATCCAGTTTCGAAGTTTTTTACCCAGTAGGGGAGAGTTGGTAACAATGGATCACTTTTTTTTTCAAGCTCCACAAATCCCAAGTCTATGCGTAAACAATTAATCTGTGATAATTAACCACAAGATATGTCCCTAATCTACAAAACCAGGTGCAATTATTGGTAAAAACGGCATAAATTTACAAGTTATAACAAGTTTTTTAAAAAATGGGAAATGATCCACTGTGACCCGTGGATGGGTCACTTTGGATCTTTTCATGGGTGACAGGGAATCGCTTGGGGTACACTGGATCTTTTAAAAAAAAGTTCAATAGAATACCAATTTTCTTCATAATTATTTATTTATTTATATTCTAAGACAGCCTTCTATCACAGTCTTATCAAAAATTAACAAGTCTTTCAAATTATGCTGGTATAAAGAGACCTAAACTAATCAACATTTTGTTTAAATGAACAACAGTTATTCTCCTTTCATTTCCACAAAGTTCTCTTCTCTATTCAAATAAACATATTTACTTCTTCAGTAATCATTGACAAACATTTTAATAAGAATTTTGTTAAATGCTAACTCAGCTATTAAACAAATATATTTACTCCTCAAGTAATCATTAATATAAACTTTAAAAGGAACATTGTTGATATATCAACTATTAAAAATAAAAATTATTACTTTTTCAGTAATCGTTAACAAAAAATAAACTATAAAAACAAATATTTTCATTTTCTGATATCTCAAAATTGTCTGAGATTCGGTTTGAGGTCAAATTAAATTAGATTAGCGTAAATTAATGTTAGAAAGATCAATGTTAAAGTTGTGCATGCCTTGCTTCCTCTTTGTAGTCCCAGAAAACGTAGGTTTTGGTAAAATCATCTTAATATCATGCAGCGCTACCGTGCAGCTACAGTCCGCTGTGACCCAAATGAAAATTATTCACTGTGACCCATAGGCCGGTACGACACAAAAAAATATTCAAAAAATAACTACTTATATCCAAGCCAAAATTACATTACCCACAACGAATTTATCAAATAACAAGTTCAAAACATACGACTATCATTTATATTTATTAAAGGGTTGGGAATACGACAAATTTTTAAATTACGTAAAAAAATACTTTCGTACTTACCTATTGGTCTGCGTGTGACAGCACGTGATTCCGCTCGGCGAGCGCGGCGGCGACAAGCGCGTGAGAGGGGGGGTATCGACAAGCAGTAGCCACGCGTTTGCTTGTGTGCGTAAAGCATCAGACGTAAGAATTATAGCGAATAATCCACTGTGACCCGTGATCCACTGTTACCCACTCTCCCCTATATGGGTTTTGTATAAATAAATGCACATACATCAATAGTTCTGGGAAGTCTAAACTTGTGTTTTCTCCTTCCTACAACCAGTCCATTTAAACTGATGTTGACAAGCAACATGCAGGCCAGAAAACTGTGTTTTATATAATTAATTAATAATCATAATTTTGCTGCTGCATTCAGTTTTATAGAAAAAAGCTAGCTCTTGGCCAATTCTCCATAAGCCATCCATAAGTCCTATGCCCCAATAGTGAGGACATTAATAGCACAACATAGTCAGTACTGAAGGTAATCTACACACAAATTGCGCTTGAACAACTCGCACATAGACAGTGCTCATGAACATGTACATAGCTCAGACCAGTTAAGAACTTTTTTGTGCAAAAATGGGGCAACAAAAGTAAAGTTATAATTTTTATTATTTTAAAGCATGTAACTGCTTGATGTTTAAATCTAAAGAAAATATAACTAGAAAAAATTCCACGCGGACCAGGCAGCAGACGGGATTCGAACCCGCACCCTTCGCAATCCGGGTGAATGCACTGATCAATTATGCTACCGCGGCCCTTACGGATCGCATCGTAATTCTTCTAGCCATTCTTAAGCTGCAAGGCAGCGCCATCTCTTCGCATTATAGGCAACCCACAATGTCAAATGAATACTTTTACAAGTATTAAACATTTGAAAGAAGAAATCTTTCTCGTCTGCTGCCTGGTCCGCATGGATTTTTTTCTAGTTATATTTTCTTTAGAAAAGTAAAGTTATTATTGTTGTTTGTTTGTTTGTTCAGTAGACAGTTATTTATATTCAACAGTAAACAGTGAATTGTCATTATATTAAATTTGTAATATAACATTAAAATTAATTCTATACTAATGTTATAAAGAGGAAAGATTTGATTTTTTGTTTCGATTGAAAAGGCTCCAGATACTACTGGACAGATTTGTAATGTCATTGTCAAATTTTGTATGGAAACTTGAACAGCAGCGCCATAATGGGCGTAATGAGAACTAAAAATCAGTACACATTTCACAATGACATTTCTCACTCGCAAACTATTCGAATTCGATATTGGTTCGTGCTAAGGGTACTTCTCTATTTTGTGTTGATGGACTGATAAGGATGATACTTATGTAGGTAAATGCATAGCGGCGCAGTGCCACGCGACTTTCTTCAGTATCTCTGCGTCTTCGTTGACGTCCAAGTGGATCGGCGACGGCGAGAAAATGGTCCGCGCCTTGTTCGCCGTCGCTCGGTGCCGGCAACCCGCGGTAACTCATTATTCTTTTGTATCAATGGTGTTAGTCATCAGAACAAAGTTGCGTTGTGTATAATAATATTTTATTGATAAAATATATACCTACACCTACATAGTCTCAGATTAACACAAATTGGAAAGATACAGCACTCGCAGCTCCGAAGTGATCCGCGTAAATTGTGGTGCATGACCACAATTCGCTTTAGTCACAATTGGATTGGACATTCAAACACGCTGCATGTGCACTCAATATAACAATATGGCGTATATTCTGTGTTATAAAGATAAAACAATGCCTTCGATGCTTTTATAAAGAACACAAATAGTTCAAGATCACATATCAAAGGACATCGACGAAATCGGCCCTAGCATGCCCAAAAGAATGTCCTTCACTATTATTTTTCTATTATTTTTTTAACTTATTAGCAATTAATCATAGTGAACGGACAATCTGTCTAAAAAAATAAAAAATAAAAGTTCTGTTACTAGATACTACAGTCTGTTCATCCAACTTGTCCTATTTGGTAAACAATCTAAGCACTCCTTTTTATTGAAAATACAGCATTAAAAATCAACTGATAACTGGATTCAATAGCTTTCAGTCTATATTAACGATTTATTTTAATAGTTTGTAGCAATTAAATTTAATAACGTTAAAACATAGCAATATAATTCTTAAATATTAAGTCGTAGAAATATTATTATTTATTCAGCGCCATCTATCATCATGCATATAAATTATTCAATATCGAAGTCCACTTTGAAAAGCAACGGACAAGTACAATATATGTGTGAACCTAGTAGTTGCATTTGGAATGTAAGTTAGAGGGAGCTAGTGTGTAAATTTTTTTAATGAGATGCAAAATTGGATGTGACGTCACATTAATGTTCTGGAAACATTGAGAGGCGGAGTCAGCAAAACCGGTCCGTTTGATTCCTCACACCAAATATGGTGATATGAGAGAAATTTGCAATGACGCTGTCACGTGTTGTAGTAGCCTATAAATAGCAGTGCACAACCAAATTCGGTCTCTTTTGGCTGATAGAACCTTGAAGACCATACTTAGAAAATAGCATTAAGACTAGCAGTGGTAGTCAGTGCATTATATACTTGATATTTCTCCCCGGATTAACGGGTAAGTTCAATACATTTGATTCGTTAGGCTGTAGGTCCAGTTAGTTTTTTTTTATTGAATTATAGAAATATGTGTAATTGGTTCTAGGTCCATTAATTTGGCTAATTAATAACAGTAATAATCACAATTACTTGATCCTGATTGGAATCTCCTTGGAAAAATATATATATATATGAGCCTGTGAAGCTTTCTTGAGCAAAAAGTGACGGGTTCACGTGATGACAGCAAGTCCTGCTTCATCCCTGAGGACATTTGAGTCATCCTGATGCTCCCATGATCTTGCCAAGCTAAGTAAAACTTATAACTTCTTGATATTTAACCAGTGCATACTCCGGAGAACAATTTCTGTTTAACGTGATAAAGGATTTCTATTGGTAAACTGTAAAGCCATTATAAGAACATAACAAATTTTTATTGTTAAATTTTCAAAACTTAATATTTTATAACTTGTTTAATAATTTGTTTATATAAGAAACTTAAATTGAGTATTACTGTATTAGCACATGATCTTGAATGTATGAATATCTTTAAATCAAAAGAAAAATCTTTGAGGAAATATAACTATGTATTTATTAACTTGAATGTGACTAGTATTAAGTTTTAACCATGATGAAATAAGATCTGAATCTTTTTTGACAATATAATATCTTGTTCACTGCGGTTTTAGACATTTTCATTTATCTCCCTCAAATCACAGTATTACGGCGCCCTGATTATAAATTAAATAAGTTTCGAGTCTCATGTAAGCCCTGAAATAGCCGGTGATAACAAAAATTGTTACAAAATGGCGCCCAACGTGGGGCCGAGCAATAAAATACTGTATTTGAGGGAAATACTGGTGTGCTGATATGATGATAAAAAGGTTGGCGGAAAAATAAATGCTTAAATCCCCAATCAGTCTGAACGGCACACTAGAATTTAACATCTAATCAAAAAAAAATTAACTTAAAAATCTTTAATATTCAGAATTTGTACTAATGTGTTAATATGATGATAAAAAGATTGGTGGAAAAATTTAATGCTTAAAATCCCCAATCAGTCTGAATAGCACATTAGAAGTAAATTACTTAATAACTTAAAAAACTTTAATAAACAATACTTTTGGAATACTAGTGTGTCTAAATGATGATAAAAAAGGTTGGTGGAAACATAGATGCTTAAATCCCCAACCAGTCTGAAAAACACACTAGCATTAATTAACTTAGCACATTAGAATTAATCAACTTATACTACAATAACACTTTCGTATTGATTGGATGCGTAAAAAATTGACCTTGAACAGTGAACAAGATAGTCTTTAAGAATTGAAACTTGTAATAATAAAAGTACCCTCCTTCAAAAAAAAAAAAAAAAATTTATAAATTCCTTTGTATTTAACTTTCTTAGATTAAATAACTTGAATAAGTAGCTTGATTTAAAAACTTGATTAAACATAATTTAATAATTAACTTAATAATTAACTTAGTAACAGAAATAACTGACTTTAACTTGAAAAAATCTGAGAAAATGCTCTCTATACAAAAATATGTAAACTACTTAAGAAAGGATGAAATCATATATGAATTGGATATTCTTGGCATTTCCACAGCTCCTGACACATCGGTGGATGCACTGAGAAAGCAGCTTCGCCAAATTTTTAAGCTGAAGAGACGTGGCAGCATCAAGTGTGCTCCAGTGATCACACCACTCCCGGCAAGCGAGCTCAAGGCATGTACGCCGAAAATTGCTGAGCTCGAGGATCTGCTGTCATCAGGTGACCTCGGAAAGGACAGTAATCTTCACTTACGTGTGTCAGTTAGGGCTAATTATCTAATCGATAGACTTGCTCGATTGGAGGTTGACAATGCTTCTCTTGTGGATTTGCGCCACAGGCTCATACGTATCTTAGCTCAAGTAGAACAGGAAGAGGAAAGTAGTTCAGACGAATTAAGTGATAAGGAAGGTACTCCCAAGTGTAGTAAAACCGGCATGAAGGATGTGAGGGAACAAGAGACGGATGAATATGTGTTGCCTATCTCGAAAACAAGGATGAATGAAAAGAATGGAAGTGAGGAATTAATCGTCATTAAAGAAAAACCAATTAACTTAAATTCACTTAATTTAAAATATAATGGTTCAGGTTGCGTTAGAAGTTTTATTGAGAGGTTAGAGGAACTTAGACAGGCCCGCGAGATTCCGCAATCTCGTATGCTGACAGCATTTTCCGATCTCTTAGAAGATTCTGCATTGGCGTGGTTTAGAAGTAACAAAGCGAACTTTAACTCATATTCTGATCTATTGTTACACTTAAGAGAGGATTTTGATATTCCGGATTTAGATTATCGACTTAAAAACGAAATTAGACAACGCACACAAGCTAGACAAGAGTCAATTGTGAGCTATATCTCCACGATGCAAGGAATGTTTGCGAGATTGTCTATTCCCATGTCATTAGAAGAACAGCTAGAAATTTTAATGCATAATATTCGTCCGGAATATATGAAAGAGTTGGCTCTTCATAACGTTGATTCTATTCTTACGTTAAAACAATTAGGAAAGCGCTTGGAATTGGCTCAAGTCCGTGCAGAGAAATTTACGGAACCCAATTTGAATAAATTATTTATTTCAAATGACCTTCAGTCACGAAGAATAAAAAATAATTTCAAACCAACCCGTCAGATCTCAACCGTAACTTTACCTCGAAATGTCTCAAATGATAGGAGGTGTATGAGATGTCAGAGTCGAGAGCATTTCACTAGAGAGTGTGTAAATTCGAGAGAAATTCTTTGTTTTAAGTGTGGTAAAAAGGGCGTAAGACGACCTGAGTGCCCACAATGTAATCCAAGTAATAATTCAAAAAACTAAAAAGTGGGAACTTCACATATAATTACGGTAAAAAAAGGTCACACATTAACTTAAATAACCGTGAAGTTCTCTTCCATAAGAAAAAGTTTGACAATAGACCTTATTTGCAATTTAAAATATTAAATGTAGATGCGTTAGGACTTGCTGACTCTGGTGCGTCATGCTCGATACTCGGCAAAAACTCGCACCTCATCTTTCTGAATTTAGGCTTTAAACTTAACACTTTAGATAAAGAGCGTATTGTAAAAACCGCTAATAGCACTGAATTGCATTGCGTAGGGTACATGTCTCTGCCCATTGAATATAACTCAATACTTAAGGTAATTACATTTTATGTTGTTCCGGAAATTACTACACCAATCATATTAGGTATTGATTTTTGGCACCATTTTGGTTTGACAAAAAACTTGATGTCATCCAACTTTAGTAATATCACTTTAAACTCAGAAAATCCTATTAACTCAATATCATTAAAAAACGGGTTAGAAGATTACAATAACTTAACGACGGCGCAAAAGCGAATAATTAATAAAATAATTGATAAATTTGACTTAATTAACACAGAAAAGGTTGGTCTTGGTAGAACTTCATTGGAACACCATAAAATAGATACTGGTAACCATAGTCCGATTAAACAGCGTTATTATCCCTTATCACCTATCAAGCAACTAGCACTCGAGAAGGAATTAGATAAAATGTTAGCCCTGGGGGTAGTTTCTCCTTCCCAATCGGCTTGGAATTCTCCAGTAGTAATGGTAGAAAAACCCAATGGTGAAACCAGATTGTGCCTAGACTCTCGAAAACTTAATTACGTCACAAAACCAGACGCTTATCCCTTGCCTTATATTAACCAAATATTAGATCATCTTAACAACGCTAAATATTTAACCTCAATTGACCTTAGTGCCGCATATTGGCAGATTCCTTATGACTCTGCAGCATCTGCTGAAAAGACAGCTTTCACAGTTCCTCGTAGAGGCTTATTTCAATTTAATGTGATGTGTTTTGGGTTAGTAGGGGCGTCAGCAACCAT